TTGACAACCTCAACTCTGTGACTCCGTGTTGTGTTTGGCGTTTTACTCGATGTTAAATTTGTGAAATTATTCTCGGCTGCAAGATTGTGTAATGTAAGCCAAGTTATTGTTTATGTAACAAAGTTGTTATTCTATGATGAATTGTTATTTATGTAATATGTAAGTTATTTCTACAATATAAGCTGTTATTTGTATAATTTTATTATTTGTATAATGTAAGCTGTTATTTATGTAAGATGTTATTTGTGTAATTTAATTGTTTATAATGTCAGCTGTTATTTATGTAAGATGTTATTGGTGTAATTTAATTGTTATTTGTATTATGTCAGCTGTTAATTATCTAAGATGTTATTTGTGTAATGCAAGCTGTTACGTGTGTAATGTTAGATATTTGTGTAATGTATTTGTTATTTGTGTCATGTCAGCTGTTATTTATGTAAGATTTTATTTTTGTAATTAAAGCCGCTATTTGTTTGCTGTAAGGCAGGAGTTCCCTAATGTAAGCAGTTATGTGTGTAATCGATGGTGGTATTTGGGGGTAAATAATTATGTAGGAGACAGGTTCCCGTTGACTTTCTCTCAGTTGTACTGGTAAACTACTTCTTCATGTTCTTCTTCATTCCGAGCACTTGAAGTTCATTGCTACAGATATCAGCCACCTCCATGCATCTGCGTGATTGAGCTTGTCTCTCCAGTGGTGACTCCACATGTTTGTAGACTTGCCTGGATGTTACCTAGCCGTCGTGGTGTAGCGGATAGAGACTCGACTGCAGATCGGAAGGTCGTGGGTTCAGATCCTGACGGAATCAGCCTTTTTTTTTTACTTAATGACCTTGATTCGCAGGCTGACCCTACATGAAATGGGTACCAGTGAAATCAAGAGAAGTAAAGGCGACCGGTGTGATTCTAATATCATCCAAGGGCCCATTGATGTATCAAAGATAGGTCTAGCCCTTTATGCCCAGTAGGCCTGAAAGTGGGGGAAAGAGTCCTTCAGGGTCCTGGATTTTATGTCCCAACCGTTTTCTGGACCCGCCCACTGATCTCGAGTGGTCGGTTTCAATTCTTGGTGGGTGGCGACATGTTTTACCAAGCTGGGGAGGGAGGCCCCAAGATTCAGACCCAAGACTTGCAGGACCAGGGTGGTTCTCTTTGTCTGGTCTCTCCCCTTTGACGAGTCCGGCTTGGGAGGACCTGCTTGTAGCTTGGCCCCTGCTGGTACAACTCTTGTGGTCATGGAGAAGCCCAGGCTCGCCCCCCGCTGGTACAACTCTTGTGGTCATGGAGAAGCCAGGCTCGGCCCCTGCTGGTACAACTCTTGTGGTCATGGAGAAGCCCAGGCTCTCTCCCCCCCCCCCCCCCCGCCCGCTGGTACAACTCTTGTGGTCATGGAGAAGCCTAGGCTCCCCCCCCCCACTGGTACAACTCTTGTGGTCATGGAGAAGCCCAGGCTCCCCCCCCCCCCCGCTGGTACAACTCTTGTGGTCATGGAGAAGCCCAGGCTCTCCCCCCCCGCCCGCTGGTACAACTCTTGTGGTCATGGAGAAGCCCAGGCTCCCCCCCCCCCCGCTGGTACAACTCTTGTGGTCATGGAGAAGCCCAGGCTCCCCCCCCCCCCCCCGCTGGTACAACTCTTGTGGTCATGGAGAAGACCAGGGTCCCCCCCCCCCCCCGCTGGTACAACTCTTGTGGTCATGGAGAAGCCCAGGCTCGCCCCCCGCTGGTACAACTCTTGTGGTCATGGAGAAGATCAGGCTCGGCCCCTGCTGGTACAACTCTTGTGGTCATGGAGAAGCCAGGCTCGGCCCTTGCTGGTACAACTCTTGTGGTCATGGAGAAGCCCAGGCTCGGCCCCTGCGGCCAGTGGTCAACCACATAACGTAATCTTGCCCTGTAAAGTTAAGGACCCTTTTCCACACCATTGGGCGCATTGGGCATATAGGGCCAGGTCTCTATTTTAGATCAATCGAGCACTTGGTGGGGGGGATGTGGTCAGCATCACGCCGGCCGCCTTTACATCCAAGGACTATACCTGATACCCACTCAAGTCTGGGTCGACCTGGGAGCCAAGGTCATTTTTGAAAAAGTCAAGCCCCTGTCATGATCCGAACCCAGCAGGATAGTCTAGCAACTGGACCACTCGGCTCCCTGCGTTTGAATGTGGTATCACCAAATAGTTAACACATTTTCTATGATTACAATTTGTTTAAACAATTTTTTTTTTCTGGATATGACTGCTGTACTCCCTACCATCACCGAATTCAGTATTACTTTGGTTTGTGTAGATGGACGTTAAATAGAGTTACCACATCTCTGATCATTTATCTGATCTGTATAATTGCCACTTCCGGTATAGTTAGGATACACTGTGTGGGTGTTCTCTGTATAGTTACCACCCCCTGCTTAATCACAGTTCTCTGCATAATTACCACCCACTGCTTATACACAGTTCTCTGTATAGTTAACTTCCCTGCCTAATCACAGTTGTCTGTATAGTTAACTTCCCTGCCTAATCACAGTTGTCTGTATAGTTAACTTCCCTGCTTAATCACAGTTGTCTGTATAGTTAACTTCCCTGCCTAATCACAGTTCTCTGTATAGTTAACTTCCCTGCTTAATCACAGTTGTCTGTATAGTTAACTTCCCTGCCTAATCACAGTTGTCTGTATAGTTAACTTCCCTGCCTAATCACAGTTGTCTGTATAGTTAACTTCCCTGCCTAATCACAGTTGTCTGTATAGTTAACTTCCCTGCCTAATCACAGTTGTCTGTATAGTTAAAATCCCTGCCTAATCACAGTTGTCTGTATAGTTAACTTCCCTGCCTAATCACAGTTGTCTGTATAGTTAACTTCCCTGCCTAATCACAGTTTGTCTGTATAGTTTAACTTCCCTGCCTAATCACAGTTGTCTGTATAGTTAACTTCCCTGCCTAATCACAGTTGTCTGTATAGTTAACTTCCCTGCCTAATCACAGTTGTCTGTATAGTTAACTTCCCTGCCTAATCACAGTTGTCTGTATAGTTAACTTCCCTGCCTAATCACAGTTGTCTGTATAGTTAACTTTCCTGCCTAATCACAGTTGTCTGTATAGTTAACTTCCCTGCCTAATCACAGTTGTCTGTATAGTTAACTTCCCTGCCTAATCACAGTTGTCTGTATAGTTAACTTCCCTGCCTAATCACAGTTGTCTGTATAGTTAACTTCCCTGCCTAATCACAGTTGTCTGTATAGGTAACTTCTCTGCCTAATCACAGTTGTCTGTATAGTTAACTTCCCTGCCTAATCACAGTTGTCTGTATAGTTAACTTCCCTGCCTAATCACAGTTGTCTGTATAGTTAACTTCCCTGCCTAATCACAGTTGTCTGTATAGTTAACTTCCCTGCTTAATCACAGTTGTCTGTATAGTTAACTTCCCTGCCTAATCACAGTTGTCTGTATAGTTAATTTCCCTGCCTAATCACAGTTGTCTGTATAGTTAACTTCCCTGCTTAATCACAGTTGTCTTTATAGTTAACTTCCCTGCTTAATCACAGTTGTCTGTATAGTTAACTTCCCTGCTTAATCACAGGTCTGTATAAGTACCCCCACCTGCTCAATCACTATATAGTTACCTCTCCTTCTCAATCACAGTTCTCTGTATAATTACGTCCCCTGCTCAATCATAGTTTTCTTACTATACAGTTACTTCCCCTGCCTAATCACAGTTTTCTATATAGTTACCGCCCCCTGCTTAATCACTGATCTCAGTATTATTTCTGCCCACTGCTCAGTCACTGTTCTTGGTATAGTTACACCCCTGCTCAATCTCTGCCCACTGCTCAGTCACTGTTCTTGGTATAGTTACACCCCTGCTCAATCTCTGCCCACTGCTCAGTCACTGTTCTTGGTATAGTTACACCCTAGATCAAACACTGTTTACTGTATAGTTGAGTTTGGGATACAGTTGTGACATTGTGTCCCTGATTCCCCAGGCCAGAGATTCAAGCATACACAGTGACCAGTCTGCCTACATAGTGACCAGTCTGCCACACAGTGACCAGTCTGCCTACACAGTGACCAGTCTGCCTACACAGTGACCAGTCTGCCTACATAGTGACCAGTCTGCCTACATAGTGACCAGTCTGCCTACACAGTGACCAGTCTGCTGTAATCTGATGACATTTTGCTGGTCAAGAGTTCTGGGAAGTCTTTAATTGGATTCAACAGTACTTCAGGAAACAATTGTACGGATAAGTGGATTCACAGGTCGGTGTCAGTCTCCCTCACTGTGGTGTTGGTGCAGGTCGGTGAGCGACAGATTTCAAGTCCTAGAATGATTATGTGTGAGTACATCAGATAGTTGTGTGTTTCAGTTTGTTTTTGACACGTTTCATTCTCTTTCTGTAATCGGTGTCACGCTCAAACACCTTCCCCTTATCTTTGTCAAGTTTTATTCTCTCACGTCCTTTATCTGCTTCAAGTTTTATTCTTCGTCTACCAATTCTCTCTGTCCAGATTTATTCTCCTACAGCCCTTCTTCCCCGCTTTCATTTTCAAGTATATTTCTCTGTGTGCCGTTTCACTCTCTCCTGTCCCTTCTTCCCATCACATTCTCCCTCTTTCCTCTCTGTCGACTTTTATCTCTGTAATGTTTTGTTCTCTATCTTTATTATCTCCGTCACAGTTTATCTTTTTTCGTCCTTCTCTCCATCAATCGTTACCCCTCTCATACCTTCTCTCCATTGCATTTTATTCTCTCTCTCCTTCCCATATCTTCATCTGGTTTTAACCTGTCTCCTTCCTTTCTCCTTTCTTTTCTCTCTCTCTCTCTCTCTCTTTCTCTCTCTCTCCTAATTTGTGACCCTTTGAAAATAAAGTTCGTTCGTTCGTTCATTCTCTCCCCCCTCCCCCCCCCCCCATTCCTGTGCCACAGATTCTTTCCTCTTGGGCTGCTAAAACCAGACCAGATCTGTGTTCGAGCCCATAATCTATTTCCGAGTTTTTGTCTCTTCTATCAGATTATCGCGAGTGTGTCATGCCTGGCAATCCTGAGAGTAAAGGTGACAGTCTCCACATGACCTCACCGAAAATATCCAACTTGGTTGAGATGGTTCCAGCTGTCCGATCTTTGTCAGCCAATGGATTTCCACCTGGTAGGTCTTTCATTGATCCCATTTTTTAGTAAGATTGTCATTTAATGATATAGTGAGATGTCTAATGTCATGATTTAGTGAGATGTCTAATGTCATGATTTAGTGAGATACTTAATTTAATGATTTAGTGAAATGTCTAATGTCATGATTTAGTGAGATACTTAATTTAATGATTTAGTGAGATGTCTAATGTCATGATTTAGTGAGATACTTAATTTAATGATTTAGTGAGATGTCTAATGTCATGATTTAGTGAGATACTTAATTTAATGATTTAGTGAGATGTCTAATGTCATGATTTAGTGAGATACTTAATTTAATGATTTAGTGGGATGTCTAATGTCATGATTTAGTGAGATACTTAATTTAATGATTTAGTGAGATGTCTAATGTCATGATTTAGTTAGATACTTAATTTCATGATTTAGTGAGATGTCTAATGTCATGATTTTGTGAGATACTTAATTTAATGATTTAGTGAGATGTCTAATGTCATGATTTAGTGAGATACTTAATTTAATGATTTAGTGAGATGTCTAATGTCATGATTTAGTGAGATACTTAATTTAATGATTTAGTGAGATGTCTAATGTCATGATTTAGTGAGATAGTTAATTTAATGATTTAGTGGGATGTCTAATGTCATGATTTAGTGAGATGTCTAATGTCATGATTTAGTTAGATACTTAATTTCAGGATTTAGTGAGATGTCTAATGTCATGATTTAGTGAGATACTTAATTTAATGATTTAGTGAGATGTCTAATGTCATGATTTAGTGAGATAGTTAATTTAATGATTTAGTGGGATGTCTAATGTCATGATTTAGTGAGATACTTAACTTAATGATTTAGTGAGATGTCTAATGTCATGATTTAGTTAGATACTTAATTTCATGATTTAGTGAGATGTCTAATGTCATGATTTAGTGAGATACTTAATTTAATGATTTAGTGAGATGTCTAATGTATGATTTAGTGAGATACTTAATTTAATGATTTAGTGAGATGTCTAATGTCATGGTTTAGTGAGATACTTAATTTAATGATTTAGTGAGATGTCTAATGTCATGATTTAGTGAGATAGTTAATTTAATGATTTAGTGAGATGTCTAATGTTATGATTTAGTGAGATAGTTAATTTAATGATTTAGTGAGATGTCTAATGTCATGATTTAGTTAGATACTTAATTTAATGATTTAGTGAGATGTCTAATGTCATGATTTAGTGAGATAGTTAATTTAATGATTTGGTGAGATATTTAATGTCATGATTTAGTGAGATAGTTAATTTAATGATTTAGTGAGATGTCTAATGTCATGATTTAGTAAGATACTTAATTTAATGATTTAGTGGGATGTCTAATGTCATGATTTAGTGAGATACTTACTTTAATGATTTAGTGAGATGTCTAATGTCATGATTTAGTGAAATAGTTAATTTAATGATTTAGTGGGATGTCTAATGTCATGATTTAGTAAGATACTTAATTTAATGATTTAGTGAGATGTCTAATGTCATGATTTAGTGAGATATCTAATGTCATGATTTAGTGATATATCTAATGTCATGATTTAGTGAGATATCTTATGTCATGATTTAGTGAGATGTCTAATGTCACGATCTAGTGAGATATCTGTCATGATTTAGTGAGATATCTTATGTCACGATTTAGTGAGATATCTAATGTCATGATTTAGTGACATATCTAATGTCATGATTTAGTGAGATGTATAATGTCATGATTTAGTAAGATATCTAATGTCATGATTTAGTGAGATGTCTAATGTCATGTTTTGGTGAGATATATTATGTCATGATTTAGTGAGATATCTAATGCCATGATTTAGTGAGATATCTAATGTCATGATTTAGTGAGATGTCTAATGTCATGTTTTAATGAGATACTTAATTTAATGATTTAGTGAGATGTCTAATGTCAGGATTTAGTGAGATACTTAATTTAATGATTTAGTGAGATGTCTAATGTCTTGATTTAGTGAGATAGTTAATTTAATGATTTGGTGAGATATTTAATGTTATGATTTAGTGAGATATCTAATGTCATGATTTAGTTATATGTCTAATGTCATGATTTGGTGAGATATATAATGTCATGATTTAGTGAGATATCCAATGTCATGATTTAGTGAGATATCTAATGTCATGATTTAGTGAGATATCTAATGTCATGATTTATTGAGATATCTAATGTCATGATTTAGTGAGATGTCTAATGTCATGATTTAGTGAGATATTTAATGTCATGATTTAGTGAGATATCTAATGTTATGATTTAGTGAGATATCTAATGTCATGATTTAGTGAGATGTCTAATGTCATGATTTAGTGAGATATCTAATGTCATGATTTAGTGAGATATCTAATGTTATGATTTAGTGAGATGTCTAATGTCATGATTTAGTTAGATGTCTAATGTCATGATTTAGTTAGATATCTAATGTCATGATTTAGTGAGATATCTAATGTCATGATTTAATGAGATAACAAATGTCGTGATTTAGTGAGATATTTAATGTCATGATTTGGTGAGATATCTAATGTCATGATTTGGTGAGATATCTAATGTCATGATTTAGTGAGATATCTAATGTAATGATTTAGTGAGATATCTAATGTCATGATTTAGTGAGATATCTAATGTCATGATTTAGTGAGATATCTAATGTCATGATTTAGTGAGATATATAATGTCATGATTTAGTGAGATATCTAATGTCATGATTTAGTGAGATATCTAATGTCATGATTTAGTGAGATATCTAATGTCATGATTTAGGGAAATGGAGCTTCTGAGAGCATTTGCTACATTAAACTGTAGATTCCTAAAATGTTTGATAAATGAAAGAACATAATTCAAAATAATCAAATGAAGATAAAGCAAAGTTGAATACCAGCTGGCACAAATTGACTGTCCATGCAGATGTTTATATTGGAGACTTGGAACATAACAGGCTAGGGCCTTGCACACATGTGGAGTTGTAAACAAAAAACATATTCTTACCTCTGCAGCTGTCACTGATACTGAGTATTTTAGGGCAGGTCAAGGTCAAACACAGTAATCATACACACATGTAAACACAGTAATCGTCCACACATGTAAACACAGTACATGTACACACATGTAAACACAGCACTTGTACACACATGTAAACACAGTACTTGTACACACATGTAAACACAGTACTCCTAAACACATGTAAACACAGTACTCCTACACACATGTAAACACAGTAATCGCCTACACATGTAAACACAGTACTTGTACACACATGTAAACACAATACTTGTACTCGCATGTAAACACAGTACTTGTACACACATGTAAACACAGTACTTGTACACACATGTAAACAGTACTTGTATGCACATGTAAACACAGTAATTGTACACACATGTAAACACAGTATGTGTACACACATGTAAACACAGTACTCGTACACACATGTAAGCACAGTACTTGTACACACATGTAAACATAGTAATCGTACACACATGTAAACACAGTACTTGTACACACATGTAAACACAGTACTTGTACACACATGTAAGCCCAGTACTTGTACACACATGTAAACACAGTAGTCATCCACACATGTAAACACAGTACTTGTACACGTATGTAAACACATTAATCATACACACATGTAAACACAGTAATCGTACACACATGTAAACACAGTACTCGTACACACATGTAAACACAGTACTTGTACACACATGTAAACACAGTACTCGTACACACATGTAAACACAGTACTCGTACACACATGTAAACACAGTACTCCTACACACATGCAAACACAGTACTCGTACACACATGTAAACACAGTACTCGTACACACATGTAAACACAGTACTCGTACACACATGTAAACACAGTACTTGTACACACATGTAAACACAGTACTCATACACACATGTAAACACAGTACTTGTACACCCATGTAAACACAGTACTCATACACACATGTAAACACAGTACTCGTACACACATGTTAACACAGTACTCGTACACACATGTAAACACAGTACTTGTACACACATGTAAACACAGTACTCGTACACACATGTAAACACAGTACTCGTACACACATGTAAACACAGTACTCGTACACACATAAAAACACAGTACTTGTACACACATGAAAACACAGTACTTGTACACACATGTAAACACAGTACTCATACACACATGTAAACACAGTACTCATACACAAATGTAAACACAGTACTCGTACACACATGTAAACACAATACTCGTACACACATGTAAACACAGTACTCGTACACACATGTAAACACAGTACTCGTACACACATGTAAACACAGAACTCGTACACACATGTAAACACAGTACTCGTACACACATGTAAACACAGAACTCGTACACACATGTAAACACAGTACTCATACACACATGAAAACACAGTACTTGTACACACATGTAAACACAGTACTCGCACACAAATGTAAACACAGTACTCATACACACATGTAAACACAGTACTCATACACACATGTAAACACAGTACTCATACACAAATGTAAACACAGTACTCGTACACACATGTAAACACAATACTCGTACACACATGTAAACACAGTACTCGTACACACATGTAAACACAGTACTCGTACACACATGTAAACACAGAACTCGTACACACATGTAAACACAGTACTCGTACACACATGTAAACACAGAACTCGTACACACATGTAAACACAGTACTCATACACACATGTAAACACAGTACTCGTACACACATGTAAACACAGTACTCGTACACACATGTAAAAACAGTACTCGTACACACATGTAAACACAGTACTCGTACACACATGTAAACACAGTACTCATACACACATGTAAACACAGTACTCATACACACATGTAAACACAGTACTCATACACACATGTAAACACAGTACTCATACACACATGTAAACACAGTACTCGTACACACATGTAAACACAGTACTCATACACACATGTAAACACAGTACTCGTACACACATGTAAACACAGTACTTGTACACACATGTAAACACAGTACTTGTACACACATGTAAACACAGTACTTGTACACACATGTAAACACAGTACTTGTACACCCATGTAAACACAGTACTCATACACACATGTAAACACAGTACTCGTACACACATGTTAACACAGTACTCGTACACACATGTAAACACAGTACTCGTACACACATGTAAACACAGTACTCGTACACACATGTAAACACAGTACTCATACACACATGTAAACACAGTACTCGTACACACATGTAAACACAGTACTCGTACACACATGTAAACACAGTACTCATACACACATGTAAACACAGTACTTGTACACACATGAAAACACAGTACTTGTACACACATGTAAACACAGTACTCGCACACACATGTAAACAATAGAGAACTGTGTGTATGTGTGTGTGGGTGTGTGCCTGTGTATATGTTAGACATCAACAATTTCCTCTGAAAACTAAATACAAACAGGCCAACAAACCTATCAATGTATTTGTACAGAAACAAACATTTAACCTTTCAGAGTTCAAGGCCAGCTACCAAACGGTCAGCAGAGACTGCCCCTCACCTGCCAGTGTGGCCTCACTGATGAAGTCTTCAAACACGCACCTTCCGCCCACCTCCGGCAGCCGACAACTGAGCAAGCTGAAACGTTTCCTGACCACTCTACAACAGTTTGGTTCCGATATCTCCCCACAGATCGGAGAGCGGGTGCGCTCGTTAGTGCTTGGCCTTGTGGTGAGTGTATCGATGCAGACGATTTTTTTTTTTTTAGTTCATGCTGGTGACATTACTAGTTGTGTCTGTCAGCAACCTTCTGTCTCACCTACTTTCACATGATGGTTTTATTCTTATAGTTCAAGCAGTGTAATATTGCTTGTGGTGTCTGTCAACAACCTTCTATCTCACCTACTTTCACATGATGGTTTTATTCTTATAGTTCAAGCAGTGTAATATTGCTTGTTGTGTCTGTCAACAACCTTCTATCTCACCTACTTTCACATGATGGTTTTATTCTTATAGTTCAAGCAGTGTAATATTGCTTGTTGTGTCTGTCAGCAACCTTCTGTCTCACCTACTTTCACACGATGGTTTTATTCTTATAGTTCAAGCAGTGTAATATTGCTTGTGGTGTCTGTCAGCAACCTTCTGTCTCACCTACTTTCACACGATGGTTTTATTCTTATAGTTCAAGTAGTGTAATATTGCTTGTGGTGTCTGTCAGCAACCTTCTATCTCACCTACTTTCACATGATGGTTTTATTCTTATAGTTCAAGCAGTGTAATATTGCTTGTTGTGTCTGTCAGCAACCTTCTATCTCACTTACTTTCACACGATGGTTTTATTCTTATAGTTCAAGCAGTGTAATATTGCTTGTGGTGTCTGTCAACAACCTTCTATCTCACCTACTTTCACATGATGGTTTTATTCTTATAGTTCAAGTTGTGTAATATTGCTTGTTGTGTATATCAGCAACCTTCTGTCTCACCTACTTTCACACGATGGTTTTATTCTTATAGTTCAAGCAGTGTAATAATGCTTGTTGTGTCTGTCAACAACCTTCTGTCTCACCTACTTTCACACGATGGTTTCATTCTTATAGTTCAAGCAGTGTAATATTGCTTGTTGTGTATATCAGCAACCTTCTGTCTCACCTACTTTCACACGATGGTTTTATTCTTATAGTTCAAGCAGTGTAATAATGCTTGTTGTGTCTGTCAACAACCTTCTGTCTCACCTACTTTCACAGGATGGTTTTATTCTTATAGTTCAAGCAGTGTAATAATGCTTGTTGTGTCTGTCAACAACCTTCTGTCTCACCTACTTTCACACGATGGTTTTATTCTTATAGTTCAAGCAGTGTAATATTGCTTGTTGTGTCTGTCAGCAACCTTCTATCTCACTTACTTTCACACGATGGTTTTATTCTTATAGTTCAAGCAGTGTAATATTGCTTGTGGTGTCTGTCAACAACCTTCTATCTCACCTACTTTCACATGATGGTTTTATTCTTATAGTTCAAGTTGTGTAATATTGCTTGTTGTGTATGTCAGCAACCTTCTATCTCACCTACTTTCACATGATGGTTTTATTCTTATAGTTCAAGTTGTGTAATATTGCTTGTGGTGTCTGTCAGCAACCTTCTATCTCACCTACTTTCACATGATGGTTTCAAAATATAATATTAAAAATATGTTCCCTGTGTGGACTACAGGGCCCCATTTTGATGGGACAAGAATTGACCCACTGCTTCCCCTTGGACACCTTTCCTCCAAACTCAGAGCCCGCCTGAGTGTAGAGATAGCACCTGACTGAGCCATCCTTGAGTGTAGAGATAGCACCTGACTGAGCCATCCTTCAGTGTAGAGATAGCACCTGACTGAGCCATCCTTCAGTGTAGAGATAGCACCTGACTGAGCCATCCTTCAGTGTAGAGATAGCACCTGACTGAGCCATCCTTCAGTGTAGTGATAGCACCTGACTGAGCCATCCTTCAGTGCAGAGATAGCACCTGACTGAGCCATCTTTTAGTGCAGAGATAGCACCTGACTGAGACATCTTTTAGTGTAGAGATGGCACCTGACTGAGACATCTTTTAGTGCAGTGATAGCACCTGACTGAGCCATCCTTCAGTGCAGAGATAGCACCTGACTGAGACATCTTTTAGTGTAGAGATGGCACCTGGCTGAGACATCTTTTAGTGTAGAGATGGCACCTGACTGAGACATCTTTTAGTGTAGAGATGGCACCTGACTGAGACATCTTTTAGTGTAGAGATGACATTTGACTGACTGACAAGCAGAAAAGAATTAATTTATTTTTGTCATGAGACAAACATCAAAGGTTATTTAAACTCGTTACTACACAAATCATACACAAAAATATGTTTTCAACTGTTGTTTCTATAAATAATGAATTCAGTTTTAAATTGTTGCTCTGTCTCCATTTACAGAATTCCCACTTGTCTATTGAAGACTTCCATGCCAAGCTGCAGCAAGCGACAAACTTCCCGCTGAAACCATTTGTGATCCCATTTCTCAAGGCAAGAAATTCTTCTACACAATTCTTTATTTTTTTTTTCTTGGCGTAATTCTGCTTATTTTTCACCAAAATGTACATTTATAAAACAAAGAAGTCACTTTCTGGAAAAGCCTTAGGGACACAACACTGAAATGGTAGGGAACATCTACTTACAGGCACTGATGGGTTTGGAGGGGGCAGGTTTGGGTCTCTGTCTACAGCTTTGAGTAGAATACCTTCCAGTGAGACTAGAGTTAGAGTGAAGCAGGAGTTAGACTAAGCATTGGGATTAGAGTTTGAGGATTAGAGTGAGGGTTTGTGGAAGAGAGACCGAGCATTGCGATCAGAGTTTGAGTATTAAGGGTTTGTAGAAGAGTTAGACTAAGCATTGGGATTAGAGTTTGAGTATTAGAGTGAGGGTTTGTGGAAGAGAGACCGAGCATTGCGATCAGAGTTTGAGTATTAGAGTGAGTGTTTGTAGAAGAGTTAGACTGAGCATTGGGATTAGAGTTACAGTAAAAGTTCAGATTACTATCAAAAAACCATAATACAGCAGGAAGTAATATTGATAAATTTGCTGTAAGAAATAAAAACAGACTTATTTTTAATCACATGTTTAATTTCTGCAGGCCAACCTGCCACTTTTACAACGAGAACTCTTCTACTGTGCTCGCCTGGCCAAACAGTCACCTCAGCAGTTTCTCACACAAAATGAACATATGATGTTTAGTCCAGTACAGTCGCCTGTAAGCCTGCAGGAGTCACTTGTGCTGCAGGTCAATGAGAATGGCAAGAGACGCCTCTCAGACAGGTAACAGCAAGCTGTCAGTTTCTTCTCCCAGTGATCTATAGCTGGCTCAGTTTCTTCTCTCAGCAATCTATAGCTGGCTCAGTTTCAGTGATCTATAGCTGGCTCAGTTTCTTCTCTCTGTGATCTATAGCTGGCTCAGTTTCTTCTCTCAGTGTTCTATAGCTGGCTCAGTTTCAGCGATCTATAGCTGGCTCAGTTTCTTCTCTCAGCCATCTATAGGTGGCTCAGTTTCTTCTCTCAGTGTTCTATAGCTGGCTCAGTTTCAGCGATCTATAGCTGGCTCAGTTTCTTCTCTCAGCCATCTATAGGTGGCTCAGTTTCTTCTCTCAGTGTTCTATAGCTGGCTCAGATTCAGCGATCTATAGCTGGCTCAGTTTCTTCTCTCTGTGATCTATAGCTGGCTCAGTTTCTTCTCTCAGCAATCTATAGCTGGCTCAGTTTCAGCGATCTATAGCTGGCTCAGTTTCAGTGATCTATAGCTGGCTCGGTTTCTTCTCTCAGTGTTCTTTAGCTGGCTCAGTTTCTTCTCTCTGTGATCTATAGCTGGCTCAGTTTCTTCTCTCTGTGATCTATAGCTGGCTCAGTTTCTTCTCTCAGTGTTCTATAGCTGGCTAAGTTTCTTCTCTCAGTGTTCTATAGCTGGCTCAGTTTCTTCTCTCAGTGATCTATAGCTGGCTCAGTTTCAGTGTTCTATAGCTGGCTCAGTTTCTTCTCTCAGTGTTCTATAGCTGGCTCAGTTTCTTCTCTCAGTGTTCTATAGCTGGCTCAGTTTCAGTGTTCTATAGCTGGCTCAGTTTCAGTGTTCTATAGCTGGCTCAGTTTCAGTGTTCTATAGCTGGCTCAGTTTCAGTGATCTATAGCTGGCTCAGTTTCTTCTCTCAGTGTTCTATAGCTGGCTCAGTTTCTTCTCTCAGTGTTCTATAGCTGGCTCAGTTTCAGCGATCTATAGCTGGCTCAGTTTCAGTGTTCTATAGCTGGCTCAGTTTCAGTGTTCTATAGCTGGCTCAGTTTCAGTGTTCTATAGCTGGCTCAGTTTCAGTGTTCTATAGCTGGCTCAGTTTCTTCTCTCAGTGTTCTATAGCTGGCTCAGTTTCTTCTCTCTGTGATCTATAGCTGGCTGTTACTTCTCTCAGCAATCTATAGCTGGCTCACTTTCTTCTTTCGGCAATTTATAGCTGGCTCAGTTTCTTCTCTCAGTGATCTATAGCTGGCTCAGTTTCTTCTCTCTGTGATCTATAGCTGGCTCAGTTTCTTCTCTCAGTGTTCTATAGCTGGCTCAGTTTCTTCTCTGTGATCTATAGCTGGCTCAGTTTCTTTTTCTCAGGGATCTATAGCTGACTCAGTTTCTTCTCTCAACGATCTATAGCTGGCTGAGTTTCTTCTCTCAGGGATCTATAGCTGACTCAGTTTCTTCTCTCAACGATCTATAGCTGGCTGAGTTTCTTCTCTCAGGGATCTATAGCTGACTCAGTTTCTTCTCTCAGGGATCTATAGCTGACTCAGTTTCTTCTCTCAGCGATCTATAGCTGACTGTGTGTTAACAGATTAATGCCTTACAGTGATTTCCAGCCAGGGTTTGAATTTGCATTAAGGGAGATAAAAATCTTGCTAGCCCAAAGTGTGTACTTTTGCAGGTTAATTCTGGCTCTTCTGGTTAACTGTTTACGCCAATAGTGTGCTGAAATTTTGGTGTGGGACTGTTAGTGTTGGCATCTGATAGCTGCCTTATGCATTTTTACTTTACATGTGCACACTTCAAGATTTTGCTGGGACTGACAAGTGTTTCACTAGTTTCTCCAATACGGCGGTGAAGGAGATTTTGTGTGATGTCCCATGGCATAGGCACAGAGCAGCTCTGGTGTGACCCGAATACAGTGATGTCAGAACTTTGGCTAACTAATCTCTAGCTCTGGTGTGACCCGTCTGTAGTGATGTCAGAACTTTGGCTAACTAATCTCTAGTTCTGGTGTGAACCGTCTGTAGTGATGTCAGAACTTTGGCTAACTAATCTCTAGCTCTGGTGTGACCCGTCTGTAGTGATGTCAGAACTTTGGCTAACTAATCTCTAGCTCTGGTGTGACCCGTCTACAGTGATGTCAGAACTATGGCTAACTAATCTCTAGCTCTGGTGTGACCCGTCTACAGCGATGTCAGAACTTTGGCTAACTAATCTCTAGCTCTGGTGTGACCCGTCTGTAGTGATGTCAGAACTTTGGCTAACAAATCTCTAGCTAGCTGAGTGTTCTTATCCTGAAAGTCCTGTGGTCAAGAGGTTGAACTGGGTGCTCTCTGCTCTAAAAGTTGTGGGTTTATTTCAGCAATTGTTTCGTTCTGTTTAAAAGTGCAATATGTTTTTACAGAGATTCCTGGAGATCATCGACTAGGCTAAGGAGTTTGTACTTTGTGCTGAGCCTATGGCAGGCAGCTAGTAATTTTGAGAGGAATAAAACCTCATGCAATCCTTGTGTGGGTCCCAGGGCCCCACTGTGTATCCCCCAAGAAAAGATCCACCTTACAAGCATGTCATTAGATTCATTAGAGGTTTCCTTCCAAATCTGAGTGCAACTGTCTGAGGCAAGGAACCAACAGTCTGCATAAAATGAGCCAAATCTGTAGAATGGATGTGCATCCATAAATCAAATTCTCAAAGTCCAGAAGTAGATGAACAAGTATAACTGTACACCGGAGTTTACAGCCGGAGAACGTGAATAAGAAACTTGATTCAATTAAGTTGATCTTCTCGGTTGTTAACTGGAAACTGATTCTAGCCACACAGTCCAACACAGCAGCAGCTGTAGACTTCACTGATTGATCTGGAATCAGTTCTGCAGACAGTGAAATATTCCTGAAGCTACAGCTAAGCTTTTAGTTTGATCAAGGATAAATATGAAATTAGCTGTTCAGGTGAACTGGTTTTAAAATCAGATAAATAATAGAGTCTGGAAAGATTTATGCACATCTGTTGCGTAAACTGCAGGCCTGCATGCAACAGATGCTGAGGACATCAGATTTGTGTGTCTGTGTGATATCCAGGTCAGCGGATCTGAAATGTGGAGAGAAGGGGTCTTTTCGGGTTGTTTGATTATTTAAAATTGTCTGTGATGTTTGATTTTCAAGCTTCGGTGTCGGGTGTGACTGTGTGTTATTTAAGACAGTTTGTGTCCACACACAACTTAATGTGGGAGATGGCGTGTGTGACAATGTGTTATTTAAGACAGCTTGTGTCCACACACTACTTAATGTGGGAGGTGGGGTGTGTGTCTGTGTGTTTAGACAGTTTGTGTCCACACACTACTTAATGTGGGAGGTGGAGTGTGTGTCTGGGTGTATATGTATGTGTTATAAGTAGGGATCTGTTTGACAACCGTCACTCCCTATGAACCAATGGTTTCTGCAATAGCATCTGCTATAACTGTAAAGTCCGAGTACTAGTTCTTTTAGTAGACGATATGGCAAAGACTGTCACTCCCACAGTCTACACACAAATGCTGATGTCCTATTATACTGCGGCTGGTTGTCTCTCAGACATCTCCTCTCTATAGCTTTCTGTGTTATGCCTCTTGCAAAATGTGACACTGCGTCTGCATCTATTACCTCCCAGGTGTCTGTCAGTGTTGATGTCCTAAAGGCTGTGTTTGCATATGTCCTGATAACGTAGCCTGTTGGCTTTCCTGCAGATCTCCTCCCTATTCCCAGTTCCCAATATAGGAGATCCTTTGGCATGGGACCATCTTCCATGAAAGAGACATATTCCATGCTTCAGTAAAGAGTACCTTGTTGACATTCCTACATATATGAGAATGCACTAATTGGGAGAAAGTCTCACCATCATATACCAAGAATGTGTCCACATTCTCTTTTCTTGTTCTCCTTTCTTGAGGAGCATTCTGAGTCCAGGTTTTACTTCCATTTCTGGAGTGTGCTTACGATACAAACTTTATAAACTCAGATGTTGGCTTTTCCTATAAGTTTCTTGTTTGATTACACTCTCATTGTGAATTGGGAAAGCCTTGCACAAGTCTTTCCTGTACATCTGTTTAGTCTGTCTGTCTGTGGGTAGTTTAAGAAAGTTATGGTGTCTGTCCACACACACTAGAAAGTGAGTCTGTCTGTGGGCTGGTGAAGCTATGTCTCCAGCTTCCTTTAGGTGCCTGTAATGGATGTCTATTGTGTGTTGATGAAGATATGTGTCTAGCTACCTTTAGATGCCTGTAATAAATACATATTGTGTGTTGATGAAGATATGTTTCCAGCTACCTCTAGGTGCCTGTAATAAATGTCTATTGTGTGTTGATGAAGATATGTTTCCAGCTACCTCTAGGTGCCTGTAATAAATGTCTATTGTGTGTTGCTGAAGATATGAGTCCACCTACCTTTAGATGCCTGTAATAAATGTCTATTGTGTGTTGATGAAGATATGTGTCCAGCTACCTTTTGGTGCCTGTAATAAATGTCTATTGTGTGTTGATGAAGATATGTGTCCACCTACCTTTAGATGCCTGTAATAAATGTCTATTGTGTGTTGATGAAGATATGTGTCCAGCTTCCTTTAGGTGCCTGTAATAAATGTCTATTGTGTGTTGATGAAGATATGTGTCCACCTACCTTTAGATGCCTGTAATAAATGTCTATTGTGTGTAGATGAAGATATGTGTCCAGCTTCCTTTAGATGCCTGTAATAAATGTCTATTGTGTGTTGATGAAGATATGTGTCCAGCTACCTTTAGATGCCTGTTATAAATGTCTATTGTGTATTGTTGAAGATATGTGTCCACCTACCTTTAGATGCCTGTAATAAATGTCTATTGTGTGTTGATGAAGATATGTGTCCACCTACCTTTAGATGCCTGTAATAAATGTCTATTGTGTGTTGATGAAGATATGTGTCCACCTACCTTTAGATGCCTGTAATAAATGTCTATTGTGTGTTGATGAAGATATGTGTCCACCTACCTTTAGATGCCTGTAATAAATGTGTATTGTGTGTTGATGAAGATATGTGTCCAGCTTCCTTTAGATGCCTGTAATAAATGTCTATTGTGTGTTGATGAAGATATGTGTCCAGCTTCCTTTAGATGCCTGTAATAAATGTCTATTGTGTGTTGATGAAGATATGTGTCCAGCTACCTTTAGGTGCCTGTAATAAATGTGTATTGTGTGTTGATGAAGATATGTGTCCAGCTACCTTTAGATGCCTGTAATAAATGTGTATTGTGTGTTGATGAAGATATGTGTCCAGCTACCTTTAGGTGCCTGTAATAAATGTCTATTGTGTGTTGATGAAGATATGTGTCCACCTACCTTTAGATGCCTGTAATAAATGTCTATTGTGTGTTGATGAAGATATGTGTCCACCTACCTTTAGATGCCTGTAATAAATGTCTATTGTGTGTTGATGAAGATATGTGTCCACCTTCCTTTAGATGCCTGTAATAATGTCTATTGTGTGTTGATGAAGATATGTGTCCAGCTACCTTTAGATGCCTGTAATAAATGTCTATTGTGTGTTGATGAAGATATGTGTCCAGCTACCTTTAGATGCCTGTAATAAATGTCTATTGTGTGTTGATGAAGATATGTGTCCAGCTGCCTTTAGAAATGCCTATTGTAATATGAAGATATGCCAGCTATTGCCTGTGTGTGATGAAGATATGTGTCCAGCTTCCTTTAGATGCCTGTAATAAATGCCTATTGTGTGTAGATGAAGATATGTGTCCAGCTACCTTTAGGTGCCTGTAATAAATGCCTATTGTGTGTAGATGAAGATATGTGTCCAGCTACCTTTAGGTGCCTGTAATAAATGTCTATTGTGTGTTGATGAAGATATGTGTCCAGCTACCTTTAGGTGCCTGTAATAAATGTCTATTGTGTGTAGATGAAGATATGTGTCCAGCTACCTTTAGGTGCCTGTAATAAATGTCTATTGTGTGTTGATGAAGATATGTGTCCAGCTACCTTTAGGTGCCTGTAATAAATGTCTATTGTGTGTTGATGAAGATATGTGTCCAGCTACCTTTAGGTGCCTGTAATAAATGTCTATTGTGTGTTGATGAAGATATGTGTCCAGCTACCTTTAGGTGCCTGTAATAAATGTCTATTGTGTGTTGATGAAGATATGTGTCCAGCTACCTTTAGATGCCTGTAATAAATGTCTATTGTGTGTTGATGAAGATATGTGTCCAGCTACCTTTAGGTGCCTGTAATAAATGTCTATTGTGTGTTGATGAAGATATGTGTCCACCTACCTTTAGATGCCTGTAATAAATGTCTATTGTGTGTTGATGAAGATATGTGTCCAGCTACCTTTAGATGCCTGTAATAAATGTCTATTGTGTGTTGATGAAGATATGAGTCCACCTACCTTTAGATGCCTGTAATAAATGTCTATTGTGTGTTGATGAAGATATGTGTCCAGCTTCCTTTAGATGCCTGTAATAAATGCCTATTGTGTGTTGATGAAGATATGTGTCCAGCTACCTTTAGGTGCCTGTAATAAATGTCTATTGTGTGTTGATGAAGATATGTGTCCAGCTTCCTTTAGATGCCTGTAATAAATGTCTATTGTGTGTTGATGAAGATATGTGTCCAGTGTCCCTGTAATAAATGCTTGTGTGTTGATGAAGATATGCCTGTGTAATAAATGTCTATTGTGTATTGATGAAGATATGTGTCCACCTACCTTTAGATGCCTGTAATAAATGTCTATTGTGTGTTGATGAAGATATGTGTCCAGCTACCTTTAGGTGCCTGTAATAAATGTCTATTGTGTATTGTTGAAGATATGTGTCCAGCTTCCTTTAAATGCCTGTAATAAATACCTATTGTGTGTAGATGAAGATATGTGTCCAGCTACCTTTAGGTGCCTGTAATAAATGTCTATTGTGTGTTGATGAAGATATGTGTCCACCTACCTTTAGATGCCTGTAATAAATGTCTATTGTGTGTAGATGAAGATATGTGTCCAGCTACCTTTAGGTGCCTGTAATAAATGATATTGTGTCCAGCTACCTTTAGGTGCCTGTAATAAATGTCTATTGTGTGTTGATGAAGATATGTGTCCAGCTACCTTTAGGTGCCTGTAATAAATGTCTATTGTGTGTTGATGAAGATATGTGTCCAGCTACCTTTAGGTGCCTGTAATAAATGTCTATTGTGTGTTGATGAAGATATGTGTCCAGCTACCTTTAGGTGCCTGTAATAAATGTCTATTGTGTGTAGATGAAGATATGTGTCCAGTACCTTTAGATGCCTGTAATAAATGTCTATTGTGTGTAGATGAAGATATGTGTCCAGCTACCTCTAGAATAAATGTCTATTGTGTCCAGCTACCTTTAGGTGCCTGTAATAAATGTCTATGTGTGTTGATTATGTGTCCAGCTACCTTTAGGTGCCTGTAATAAATGTCTATTGTGTGTTGATGAAGATATGTGTCCAGCTACCTACCTTAATAGATGCCTGTAATAAATGTCTATTGTGTGTTGATGAAGATATGTGTCCAGCTACCTTTAGATGCCTGTAATAAATGTCTATTGTGTGTTGATGAAGATATGTGTCCACCTACCTTTAGATGCCTGTAATAAATGTCTATTGTGTGTTGATGAAGATATGTGTCCAGCTAGCTTTAGGTGCCTTAATAGTCTATTGTGTGTTGATGAAGATGCCTGTATGCCTGTAATAAATGTCTATTGTGTGTTGATGAAGATATGTGTCCAGCTACCTTTAGGTGCCTGTAATAAATGTCTATTGTGTGTTGATAAAGATATGTGTCCAGCTACCTTTAGATGCCTGTTATAAATGTCTATTGTGTATTGTTGAAGATATGTGTCCACCTACCTTTAGATGCCTGTAATAAATGTCTATTGTGTGGTGATGAAGATATGTGTCCAGCTACCTTTAGATGCCTGTAATAAATGCCTATTGTGTGTAGATGAAAATATGTGTCCAGCTACCTTTAGATGCCTGTAATAAATGTCTATTGTGTGTTGATGAAGATATGTGTCCAGCTACCTTTAGGTGCCTGTAATAAATGTCTATTGTGTGTTGATGAAGATATGTGTCCAGCTACCTTTAGATGCCTGTAATAAATGTCTATTGTGTGTTGATGAAGATATGTGTCCAGCTACCTTTAGATGCCTGTAATAAATGCCTATTGTGTGTTGATGAAGATATGTGTCCAGCTACCTTTAGGTGCCTGTAATAAATGTCTATTGTGTGTTGATAAAGATATGTGTCCAGCTACCTTTAGGTGCCTGTAATAAATGTCTATTGTGTGTTGATGAAGATATGTGTCCAGCTACCTTTAGGTGCCTGTAATAAATACCTATTATTTGTTTATTACAACAGTGGACCTTACGAAGACAGATCAGATTTAGAGACCCCAGCCAAGCGTTACCATTGCAACCAGTGTTCCAGCCCAGGCTCGGCCGGAGGTCAAAGTCCGGACTCTGTCTTCAGCGTCTCTGTGGGAGCATCCTGCAGGCTTCAGGACATCAGCAAGTCCTGTGGCAGCAGGGAACATGATCGGGGTGGAGCTGAGGTTGAAGCTGACAGAGAGAGACAGTTCCAAACAAGTATGTGTTTGACATAAAGTGCCTGCACTGTGCTAACAGTGGAAAATAATGTCTGCACTGTAGTCTTAGTTTCATGACATGGATGGAGCCTTATAGGGTAAAATCATAACGTGTGGAGGATAATGTTATAGAGACATACAATGTGTGGAGGATAATGTTATAGAGACATACAACGTGTGGAGGATAATGTTATAGAGACATACAACGTGTGGAGGATAATGTTATAGAGACATACAATGTGTGGAGGATAATGTTATAGAGACATACAACGTGTGGAGGATAATGTTATAGAGACATACAACGTGTGGAGGATAATGTTATAGAGACATACAACGTGTGGAGGATAATGTTATAGAGACATACAATGTGTGGAGGATAATGTTATAGAGACATACAACGTGTGGAGGATAATGTTATAGAGACATACAACGTGTGGAGGATAATGTTATAGAGACATACAATGTGTGGAGGATAATGTTATAGAGACATACAACGTGTGGAGGATAATGTTATAGAGACATACAACGTGTGGAGGATAATGTTATAGAGACATACAACGTGTGGAGGATAATGTTATAGAGACATACAACGTGTGGAGGATAATGTTATAGAGACATACAATGTGTGGAGGATAATGTTATAGAGACATACAATGTGTGGAGGATAATGTTATAGAGACATACAACGTGTGGAGGATAATGTTATAGAGACATACAACGTGTGGAGGATAATGTTATAGAGACATACAACGTGTGGAGGATAATGTTATAGAGACATACAACGTGTGGAGGATAATGTTATAGAGACATACAATGTGTGGAGGGTGGAGTGTTGTAGAGACATACAATGTGTGGAGGGTGGAGTGTTGTAGAGACATACAATGTGTGGAGGATAATGTTATAGAGACATACAATGTGTGGAGGGTGGAGTGTTGTAGAGACATAATAATATTATGTTTAATAATCGTTGAAGAATTCACAGCCGTGTGTTAAAACTGGCTCTATCTGGCATGCCAGAATTCTGGTCCTAACCTCCAGTGATATGGATTTATTGTGTACAATGTTCTTCATGTGATCAAATGCATTTCTGGCCTGTCCTAGTCTGTTCTTTATCTCTGTGATACATCTTTTGTCGGATGTTATCAATGTGCTTGGATGTTTAAATTTCTATACTTGTCCTACAATAACACACTGTTAATAGAAATCAGTACTTCTGTCTCTGTGTGGAAGGTAGAGTGTTATAAAGACAATTACATAACTGGATTCACCAATGTCCAGCAAATAGAAAATCTTCTTAGACAGGGGTGTGGCAATAGCAATACATGTACAGTGTACACAAACATCACAGCCTCATGAAGCAGCCTCAGAAATGTTGTCTAGAATGTGTTCTAGAGGCTTGTTGTTCTCATTTATGTCATAGAATATGTTATAAAAGCTTGTTGTTCTCATATATGCCATAGAACTTTTTCCAAGTGCTTGCAGTTCTCATATATGTCATAGAATGTGTTTTAGGGGCTTGTTGTTCTCATATATGTCATAGAATGTGTTATAAAAGCTTGTTGTTATCAAAAATGCCATAGAACTTTTTCCAAGGGCTTGTTGTTCTTATATATGTCATAGAATGTGTTCCAGTGGCTTGTTGTTCTCATATATGTCACAGAATGTGTTCCAAGTGCTTGTTGTTCTCATATATGTCATAGAACTTTTTCCAAGTGCTTGCTGTTCTCATATATGTCATAGAATCTGTTCCAATGGCTTGTTGTTCTCATATATGTCATAGAATGTGTTCTAAGGGCTTGCTGTTCTCATGTATGTTATAGAATCTGTTCCAATGGCTTGTTGTTCTCATATATGTCATAGAATGTGTTCCAAGTGCTTGTTGTTCTCATATATGTCATAGAACATTTTCCAAGTGCTTGCTGTTCTCATATATGTCATAGAACTTTTTCCAAGGGCTTGTTCTCATATTTGTCATTTCCCTGCCAATATTTGCAGGTCTAAGGCGGACCGAGGTGTTTGATCATTGTGAGCGGTTCAGCGATGACTGGCAACACATAGAGTCTGTGAGTATATTGTCCTTTCACAATTCTCACTTTTTAACTATAATTGCTTACTGACTCCTAGTTCCCCCCCCCCCCCAAATCTCCCAATCCTCCATTTTTTTCTTCTAAGTAAAGCATGGGATAAATAGTGTTGGGCTCATGCTTGTGTAGACTGAAAGGTACTCAACATGTGATAGGGTTAACCTCAGGCAGGCTGCCTTGATTTCCTGTGACATATCCTAGTCTTCATTTCAAGCTGGGTGGACTTGGGAACCTCAGTAAATTATAAACAATCCACCTCAACATGGACTTGAACTTCAGACTTTCAGACCAACAGGTCATCATCTAGTCATGGTACTATCCCGAGTTTTCCTTGCTTGACTCTGTAAAAGGATTTTCAAGTTTAAAAAAAAACAACTTTACAGAACATTGGATCAGTTTAACTGTGAGCAGTGTAGCTTTTCTGAAACATTGGATCAGTTTAACTGTGAGCAGTTTAGCTTTTCTGAAACATTGGATCAGTTAATCTGTGACCAGTGTAGCTTGTCTGAAACATTGGATCAGTTTATCTGTGAGCAGTTTAGCTTTTCTGAAACATTGGATCAGTTTATCTGTGAGCAGTTTAGCTTTTCTGAAACATTGGATCAGTCTAACTGTGAGCAGTGTAGCTTCTCTGAAACATTGGATCAGTTTATCTGTGAGCAGTGTAGCTTTTCTGAAACATTGGATCAGTTTATCTGTAAGCAGTGTAGCTTTTCTGAAACATTGGATCAGTTTATCTGTGAGCAGTGTAGCTTGTCTGAAACATTGGATCAGTTTATCTGTGAGCAGTGTAGCTTTTCTGAAACATTGGATCAGTTTATCTGTGAGCAGTGTAGCTTTTCTGAAACACTGGATCAGTTTATCTGTGAGCAGTGTAGCTTGTCTGAAACATTGGATCAGTTTATCTGTGAGCAGTGTAGCTTTTCTGAAACATTGGATCAGTTTATCTGTGAGCAGTGTAGCTTTTCTGAAACATTGGATCAGTTAATCTGTGACCAGTGTAGCTTGTCTGAAACATTGGATCAGTTTATCTGTGAGCAGTGTAGCTTTTCTGAAACATTGGATCAGTTTATCTGTGAGCAGTGTAGCTTGTCTGAAACATTGGATTAGTTTATCTGTGAGCAGTGTAGCTTGTCTGAAACATTGGATCAGTTTATCTGTGAGCAGTGAAGCTTTTCTGAAACATTGGATCAGTTTAACAGTGAGCAGTTTAGCTTGTCTGAAACATTGGATCCATCCCTTTACGATGTTAGGGCTTTCAGAGGTGCCGATGTATTTACTGACCATTTCCTGGTGATAAGTAAAATCAAGTTGAAACTAACAAGATATATAACATCTTATAATCATAGAAACCAATATAATGTAGGCTTTCTCAGAGATAAAGAAATTAAGGAACAGTTCTCAGTTACGGTCTCTAATAAGTACCAGGTGTTGCAGCAGTTAGCTGAAGATGTCAACACAGAAGTCTGCTGGGATCAGATCAAAGGAATCTGGAATGAATCTTGCGTAGAAGTTCTTGGCAAGAAAGAAAGGAAACATAAAGCATGGATAACACCAGAAACCATTAAACTGATTGAAGATAGGCAAAGTAAAAAGGCAGAATTAAATAATAGCAAAACTAGAGCTGCTAAAGCTAGAGCTCAGGAGAAATACACAGAAGCCAACAAGGAAGTTAGGAGGCATGTAAGGGCAGATAAAGTGAAATATCTAAATGATCTAGCACAAGAAGCAGAGACAGCAGCAGCGAAAGGAAACCTCTTAGAACTTTACAGTAACACAAGAAAATTAGTAGGTAAATATATTCAGCCAACTGGATCAATCAAAAATAGTCAAGGAAAGGTACTTACTAACACTAAAGATCAAATGGACAGATGGGTTGAATATTTTGAAATGCTTCTAAATAGACCAGGCCCAGAGGTTCCCCCAGATATCCAGCCTTTAGAAATGGAACTGGATATCAACTGTGAGATACCATCCAAAGAGGAAATTAGAAAAGCTATAAATCTTCTCAAGGAAGGAAAGGTGACAGGCCCAAACGGTATCCCAGCTGAAGCCATCAGGACCAACATAAACACATCAACAGAATTGCTACATAGATTATTCAGTAAAGTCTGGGAGACCGAAGAAATACCAGCAGACTGGAGAGAAGGGTATCTTGTGAAACTGCACAAAAAAAGGTGATCTACAGGAGTGTGAAAACTATAGAGGAATTACATGTTGCTGTCAGTTCCTGGAAAAATATTAAGTAGAATAATTTTGGAAAGATTAAAAGATGCTATTGATAAAATGCTAAGAGATGAGCAGGCAGGTTTTCGGTCAAACAGATCCTGTACTGATCAGATAGCCACATTACGTATTATAATAGAGCAAAGCATTGAACTGAACTCACCACTTTACATTGGATTTATAGACTATGAAAAAGCATTTGACAGCATAGATAGGGAATCTCTCTGGAAATTGATGGGGCACTATGGAATCCCACAGAAAATTATCAACTTAGTAAAGGCAACATATAAAGACATGAAATGTCGAGTTCTTCATGAGGGAAAGCTAACAGATGCGTTTGAAATAAAAACAGGTGTGCGACAGGGATGTCTTTTGTCGCCTCTCTTATTTTTACTGGCTATAGACTGGACTATGAAAACAGTAACTGCTAACACCAAGAATGGAATTCAGTGGACCCCTACAAAACAGCTTGATGATCTGGACTTCGCTGATGATATTGCTCTTCTGTCCCATTCACAGAATCAGATGCAAGATAAATTAAATATACTTAATGCAAGATCACAGCAGCTTGGTCTGAAAATCCATAAAGGAAAGACAAAGATAATGAGAATAAATCAGGCAAATAGTAATGTGGTTTCTCTTAATGGCACCCCACTCCAAGATGTGGAGTCGTACACCTATTTAGGCAGTAATGTAGATAAAGATGGAGGAACTGATAGAGATATTAAAATAAGAATACAAAAGGCAAGGGGGGCTTTCATAGCACTAGGGAATTTGTGGAGGTCAAAAGAAATTAAAAGAAATACTAAACTAAAAATTTTTAATTCTAATGTCAAATCAGTACTTTTGTATGGGGCGGAAACATGGAGAACAACCAAGGCAATTACTAATAAATTACAGACATTTATTAACTGGTGCCTGCAAAGAATAGAGGGAATAAAATGGTATGATAGAATAACTAATGTCGAACTTTGGGAGAGAACTAAACAGGCTCCAGTGGATCAGGAAGTGAGGAAAAGACGCTGGCGTTGGATAGGGCACACACTGAGAAAACAGGAGAACAGCATTACTAGAATGTCTTTACATTGGAACCCACAGGGGCATAGGAATAAAGGAAGGCCAAAAAACACATGGAGAAGAGAGCTGGAGAACGAGGTTAGAAAGATTGGGAGGACATGGGGAGAGCTCCATGCTATGGCGAAGGATAGAACGACTTGGCGTGAGTTGGTTGAGGGCCTATGCTCCATCGGGGGATAGAAAGGCAGAAGAAGAAGAAGAAACATTGGATCAGTTTATCTGTGAGCAGTGTAGCTTTTCTGAAACATTGGATCCGTTTATCTGTGAGCAGTGTAGCTTTTCTGAAACATTGGATCAGTTTAACTGTAAGCAGTTTAGCTTGTCTGAAACATTGGATCAGTTTAACTGTGGGCAGTGTAGCTTTTCTGAAACATTGGATCAGTTTAACTGTGAGCAGTTTAGCTTGTCTGAAACATTGGATCAGTTTAATTGTAAGCAGTTTAGCTTGTCTGAAACATTGGATCAGTTTAACTGTAAGCAGTTTAGCTTTTCTGAAACATTGGATCAGTTTAACTGTGAGCAGTTTAGCGTTTCTGAAACATTGGATCAGTTAAACTGAAACTGGCATTAATAATGTTGTACTTATGTTGTTGGTAATGTTATAGTGCTATAACCATTAATGTTGTACTTGTGATCTTGGTAATGTTATGGTGCTATAACCATTAATGTTGTACTTGTGATGTTGGTAATGTTATAGTGCTATAACCATTAATGTTGTACTTGTGTTGTTGGTAATGTTATAGTGCTATAACCATTAATGTTGTACTTGTGTTGTTGGTAATGTTATGGTGCTATAAACATTAATGTTGTACTTGTTTTGTTGGTAATGTTATGGTGCTATCACTATTAATATTGTACCACTGTCATCATTAATTTTTTCATCAATAATGTTGTCATCATTATTGTTGTGCTGCTATTATAATTTATTTTGTACCTGCATCAACTTAAATAATGTACCGCTGTCTTACGGATGCCTTTTCCCAAACTTTCATCAGTTGCTGGGCTGTATCTTGAGCATGGTAGACAAGACAAAGCGAGCTGTTTCTGTCTTACGAGATAGAAGTCTTCAAGACAGAGAAGATGTGTCTCTGTGGTCTCAGCATCAGGCACTTAGTGCCGGAGAAGAGCCTGTCATGCGTGCACTCCGACACAGCGGAGATGTAGTCTGTGATGTCAGGAAACGAGCAGGTATTGTTTGTGTCTCTGTGGTGTCAAAAACTTCTCGAGTGATTTACATATAGATACGATGTTTGCATCAAACACACATTTCTAGTTTAATTTATCTCAAATACAATATTAGGTATCAAACAGACATTTCTTTTTTAATTCTTCAGTATAAAAAGAAAAAGAAAACATTTATAGTTTTTTGTTTTTAAAATCATTAATCAGATTTTAGTAAGAAAAAAACATTGCTAGTCTAAAATATCTTTAATAAAGTATAGCACTCTTTTCCACTCCTTTAGGCCTACTGGGCATATAGGGCTGGTCCTCTTTTTTATAGATCAGTCATCACTTGCCTTCACTTCCCAGAACTTCACCTGGTTCACTTTTAAGGCTAGGTCAACCTGGGAACAAAGGTCATTTTTTTAACAATGTCCACCTCCACTGAACCTGAACTGATGACACTTTAATCCCAAGGCAAGCATCTAACCACTATACCACAGCTACTCCCTGATCCCCAGGCAAACATCTAACCACTACACCCCAGCTACTCCCTGATCTCCAGGCAAACATCTAACCACTACACCCCAGCTACTCCCTGATCCCCAGGCAAGCATCTAACCACTACACCCCAGCTACTCCCTGATCCCAAGGCAAGCATCTAACCACTACACCCCAGCTACTCCCTGATCCCAAGGCAAGCATCTAACCACTATACCACAGCTACTCCCTGATCCCCAGGCAAACATCTAACCACTACACCCCAGCTACTCCCTGATCCCCAGGCCAACATCTAACCACTACACCCCAGCTACTTCCTGATCCCCAGGCCAACATCTAACCACTACCCCCCAGCTACTCCCTGATCCCCAGGCAAACATCTAGCCACTACACCCCAGCTACTCCCTGATCTCTAGGCAAACATCTAACCACTTCACCACAGCTACTCCCTGATCTCTAGGCAAACATCTAACCACTACACCACAGCTACTTCCTGATCCCCAGGCCAACATCTAACCACTACCCCCCAGCTACTCCCTGATCCCCAGGCAAACATCTAGCCACTACACCCCAGCTACTCCCTGATCTCTAGGCAAACATCTAACCACTTCACCACAGCTACTCCCTGATCTCTAGGCAAACATCTAACCACTACACCACAGCTACTCTCTGATCCCCAGGCAAACATCTAACCACTACACCCCAGCTACTCCCTGATCCCCAGGCAAACATCTAGCCACTACACCCCAGCTACTCCCTGATCTCTAGGCAAACATCTAGCCACTACACCCCAGCTACTCCCTGATCTCCAGGCAAGCATCTAACCACTACACCCCAGCTACTCCCTGATCTCCAGGCCAACATCTAGCCACTACACCCCAGCTACTCCCTGATCTCTAGGCAAACATCTAACCACTACACCCCAGCTACTCCCTGATCTCTAGGCAAACATCTAACCACTACACCCCAGCTACTCCCTGATCTCCAGGCAAACATCTAACCACTACACCCCAGCTACTCCCTGATCTCTAGGCAAACATCTAGCCACTACACCCCAGCTACTCCCTGATCTCCAGGCAAGCATCTAACCACTACACCCCAGCTACTCCCTGATCTCCAGGCCAACATCTAGCCACTACACCCCAGCTACTCCCTGATCTCTAGGCAAACATCTAACCACTACACCCCAGCTACTCCCTGATCTCTAGGCAAACATCTAACCACTACACCCCAGCTACTCCCTGATCTCCAGGCAAACATCTAACCACTACACCCCAGCTACTCCCTGATCTCTAGGCAAACATCTAGCCACTTCACCACAGCTACTCCCTGATCTCCAGGCAAACATCTAGCCACTACACCCCAGCTACTCCCTGACATACCTTTCAATAAAATTTTAAATATAAAACATTTGTTAGAATAACTTTAATGCACCAGGAAAGGATCATCTCTTCCCCATGATTCTCCACAGTTATGTAAATTTACAAGGTCAGAATTGTGTCTTCCCCATGATTCTCCACAGTTATGTAAATTTACAAGGTCAGAATTGTGTCTTCCCCATGATTCTCTACAGTTATGTAAATTTACAAGGTCAGAATTGTCTTTCTCCCATGATTTGACACAGTGGTCTATTCTTCATTAGGCTGGAATTATTAATTGATGAAATTTGTTTGTGCAGACGATGTTGTGGTGGATGTCCGAAGACAAGCCATGCTTGAGCTTCAGCGGGCGGTGACCTCGGCCGACAAGAAGGCAGCTGACCTGGTCATGGCTGAGACATTCAGAATGGAGAGAGCTGTAGCAGACGTCAGAGCTCAAGTGCAGTCTAAACTTCTACAGTCTGTCTATCCCCAGGAGGAATCTGCCGAGGTGAAGGCTGAATTAGTGAACTTTGACTTTAACTCCTTGACCTTGCCTCAGACACTCAAGAAAATAATATATTAGGGTGTGTTTGGTTAGCAAGGCTCCTCCTGTTCAAGCTGGGCTTGACCAAATGTTAGTTATCATTTTGGATGGCAAATATGTCATTGCTCCTGCTCTTCACTGAATCATTCATCATTCATCAATCATTCATCAATCATTCATCATAACAAGATCAATTTGAAGAAACAACCATTTCATAATGTTGTTGTTCTCGTAATACTGTAAAAGGGCTTTTGGACCGAAATATTCTAGGAAGATTTTTAGAGTATCAGGGAGAAATGTTAATAGAATAACTGACATTTTTTTTTTTTAATGATCTTAATACCAAAGCAGACATTTTATATGAACTGAATTTTAAAGTTGACTGGCTTATGAAGAGTATAATTTTTTGCAAATACGACAGCCTTATTAAATGCCTCAATGATTTGGAGAAAACCGTAGTGGAAAGTGTGGTTATTGGAAACATCGACAGACTTTGATTAGTAGGAAAGTGGACACAGGATATCAAGGATACCCTGGAGATCTCATAAGGCAGGAAAAAACACGTGACTTTCTGGCATAGAATCATGAGAGTGATATTGTGCAAAATACCTCCCACATGATGATGATTGAATGCTCTGATAGTACAGTCTTTAGTACTGCCAGTCTCCAGTAATGTGACAATCTCCAGTATTGTGACAATTCCCAGTATTGTGACAATCTCCAGTACTGTGACAATCTCTAGTATTGTGACAGTCTCCAGTATTGTGACAATTCCCAGTATTGTGACAATCTACAGTATTCTGACAGTCTCCGGTATTGTGACAATCTCCAGTATTGTGACAATCTCCAGTATTGTGACAATCTCCAGTATTGTGACAATCTCCAGTATTGTGACAATCTCCAGTATTCTGACAGTCTCCAGTATTCTGACAGTCTCCAGTATTGTGACAGACTCCAGTATTGTGACAATCTCCAGTATTCTGACAGACTCCAGTATTGTGACAATCTCCAGTATTCTGACAGTCTCCAGTATTGTGACAGCCTCCAGTATTGTGACAATCTCTGGTATTGTGACAATATCCAGTATTGTGACTGTCTCCAGTATTGCGATAGTTCCCATTGTTGTGACAGTCTCCAGTATTGCAACAGTCTCCAGTATTGTGACAGTCCCCAGTATTGTGACAGTCTGGAGTATTGTGACAGTCCCCAGTATTCTATCAGTCCCCTTTATTGTGACAATCTCCAGTATTGTGACAATCTCCAGTATTGTAACAGTCCCCTTTATTGTGACAATCTCTAGTTTTGTGACAGTCTCCAGTATTGTAACAGTCCCCTTTATTGTGACAATCTCCAGTATTGTGACAGTCTCCAGTATTGTGACAGTCCCCTTTATTGTGACAATCTCTAGTTTTGTGACAATCTCAAGTATTGTAACAGTCCCCTTTATTGTGACAATCTCTAGTTTTGTGACAGTATCCATTGTTGTGACAGTATCCATTATTCTGACAGTATTCATTGTTCTGACAGTATCCATTGTTGTGACAGTATCCATTGTTGTGACAGTATCCATTATTCTGACAGTATCCATTGTTGTGACAGTATCCATTGTTCTGACAGTAACCATTATTCTGACAGTAACCATTTTGCTGACAGTATCCATTATTCTGACAATATCCATTGTTCTGACAGTATCCATTATTCTGACAGTATCCATTGTTCTGACAGTATCCCTTATTCTGACAGTATTCATTGTTCTGACAATAACCATTGTTCTGACAGTATCCATAGTTCTGACAGTAACCATTGTTCTGACAGTATCCATTGTTCTGACAATATCCATTGTTCTGACAGTATCCATTGTTCTGACAGTATCCATTGTTCTGACAGTATCCATAGTTCTGACAGTAACCATTGTTCTGACAGTATCCATTGTTCTGACAGTATCCATTGTTCTGACAATATCCATTGTTCTGACAGTATCCATTGTTCTGACAGTATCTATTGTTCTGACAGTATCTATTGTTCTGACAGTATCCATTGTTCTGACAGTATCTATTGTTCTGACAGTATCCATTGTTCTGACAGTAACCATTGTTCTGACAGTATCTATTGTTCTGACAGTATCCATTGTTCTGACAGTATCTATTGTTCTGAGTTTCTATTGTTCTGACAGTATCTATTGTTCTGACAGTATCCATTGTTCTGAGTTTCTATTGTTCTGACAGTATCTATTGTTCTGACAGTAACCATTGTTCTGACAGTATCCATTGTTCTGACAGTATCTATTGTTCTGACAGTATCTATTGTTCTGAGTTTCTATTGTTCTGACAGTATCTATTGTTCTGACAGTATCTATTGTTCTGACAGTATCTATTGTTCTGACAGTATCCATTGTTCTGACAGTATCTATTGTTCTGAGTTTCTATTGTTCTGACAGTATCCATTGTTCTGAGTTTCTATTGTTCTGACAGTATCCATTGTTCTGACAGTATCTATTGTTCTGACAGTATCCATTGTTCTGACAGTATCCATTGTTCTGACAGTTTCTATTGTTCTGACAGTATCCATTGTTCTGACAGTTTCTATTGTTCTGACAGTATCCAAGGTTATAGGATGATAACTGCCAATAGCTGCCTTTATATACCCCTTGTGCTGTGTAGGCAGGGCGTCTTTGAGCCTGAGGATTTGCTTCCGCACGGCTGGTTCTCTCACCAGGACAGTACAGGTGTGAAGGATTTTATTTTGACCCAGGTCTCCCACATGACAGCCAAGTGTTCTAACCGTTTGGCCAGCCACTCCTGGGGATGATAACACAGACCACAAATCTGACTTTTGTTGTTTTGTTTATGCACTGTACTGTGTGACTCCTTGTCTGATCTCAAGATGGAAAACAAACAATTTGTAGATTTACTGCTGCTCACTGAATGTTTGTGTTTTTTCCTGAATCAAATGATGCAAAGAGAAGCTCATGCAAATGTCTCATTCCTTTAGCTTTCTAACCACAATTTGTGTGAACCGCACATTTAATAGAATTATTGTAGTAGTAGTAGTAATTCAAACAACAGTATCCTCTTCAACCCATATGAGGTTATAACTGGGATACCACGCAATCACTGAATCGATCAATCTATCAGTTAATCAATCAAACATCATATCTTTTGCAGAACGTTGCTCTCTTTACGGCACATCTCTCTTTACGGCACATCTCTCTTTACGGCACATCTCTCTTTACGGCACATCCCTCTTCATGGCAGATCCCTCTTCATGGCACATCTCTCTTTACGGCACATCTCTCTTCATGGCACACATCTCTTCATGGCACATCCCTCTTCATGGCACATCTCTCTTTACAGCACATCTCTCTTCACAGCACATCCCTCTTCACGGCACATCCCTCTTCACGGCACATCTCTCTTCACGGCACATCCCTCTTCATTGCACATCTTACTTTACGGCACATTTCTCTCTTCATGGCACATCTCTCTTTACGGCACATCTCTCTTTACGGCACATCCCTCTTTATGGCACTTCTCTCTTCACGGCACATCCCTCTTCACGGCACATCCCTCTTTACGGCACATCCCTCTTTATGGCACATCCCTCTTTATGGCACATCTCTATTCTCGGCACATCTCTCTTCATGGCACATCCCTCTATCTCTAGCCAATTCTCCAGCCTTGTGTTATTTCATAGCCAGTACAACTTCAATGTACTGTATCCACAATCATGGAGGTCTGCCTCAATGTCCTGTATCTACAATCATGGAGGTCAGTCTCTGATATATAGAGCTGTTTATGTCTCAATATATGGATACTTATATTTATCAGTTTGTCTGCTATTCATTATTGCATCGTTTATGTATCAGTTGTACATGATTGTAGAGTTTTGACTGCCAAGATCAGTATATTGTAAGTTTACATTGTAACAGTTCTAGTAATTATTTAGTGCTGTCTGTCTTGGCAGATATCTAAAGGGATCTGGAATACCATTTTTCTGTCTCAAGATCAAATTAACGCGTCATGTGCTAACTCTGTTTTAGGTTATCAGCTGTTTAGTTCTTCGCTGTAGTTCTTTAGAAACATCTACTGCCAGTATGTTCTATATTGAGACTGGTGTTAAATGTCCAGCTATAATGTTTGGTTCCTGGATATCCTTGTTCACAACTGTTATTGACAAATGTTCTTTTTTTCTTCATTCAGAGCTGTTGGAACTGTGGGCGAAAAGCTAGCGAGACGTGCAGCGGCTGCAACATGGCTCGATACTGTGGATCCTTCTGTCAACACAAGGATTGGGACAAGCATCACCACGTGTGTGGTAGAGCTCACGTCTCCTCCACTGTGGACTTGAGACCAATGCCGAGGACTACTTCTTCAAAGACGTCCATGGTGGCAAGACTAGGTTCGGGGACAAAAGGTCAACAAACTTTACCCTCTAAAGAATTTTCTGCTGTAGATCACTCATCTTACTCAAGTGCATCCCCGCAGCCATCTGCTGTGCCATGTCTGTCAGCAAAAGATGAGGCACAGACCACCACAGCTCCAGCAACGGTCAGCTCTACCCAGAGATCAACTTCCCCTGGAGTATCAGCTTCCACTGGAACACCAAGTCCAGCCAGTTCGAATCCAGACAACTCAGCCACTGAGGCTGACACATCTATCACTTCACAAACTTTGAGTGAGACGTCGGCAGCATAAATAATCATCATCACCACCACCATCATTATCACCACCATCATCGTCATCATCATCATCATAATTATCACCACCATCATTATCACCACCATCATCGTCATCATCATCATAATTATCACCACCATCATTATCACCACCATCATCGTCATCATCATCATCATAATTATCATCACCATCATCATCATCATCATCATCATCATAATTATCATCACCATCGTTATCATCAACATCATCATCATCATTGTGTTTATTGTCATCATCATCATCACTGTCATCACCGTTTAAATGACAGCAGCTGAGGCAGTGACTTAAATTGTGTTTGGCTGGATCACTCTTAGCCATAGACCATCACTGCTTTCACACCTGTCCTGTTAAACATGTACGACATATAGACGATTGTTATATAGCCTCCCACCCAAAGGTTACAATCAGCTTTTCCACAAACTTCTATTGGCACCAATGATTGGTATAACAAAGTCCACCAGTCAGTCATGTCTGGTATAACAAAGTCCACCAGTCAGTCATGTCTGGTATAACAAAGTCCACCAGTCAGTCATGTCTGGTATAATATAAGTCCACCAGTCAGTCATGTCTGGTATAACAAAGTCCACCAGTTAGTCATGTCTGGTATAACAAAGTCCACCAGACACTCATTGTCTTTAAACAAGCAAGCAGATTTCTGTTGTGCATCAAGTGGTCCACAGGAAGTTCCTAATCTGTTGTAACTGTTGCTTCCATCAATGGTGAACTGCATATCTAGTTGGGCTGTTTGTGTTGGCACTGCTGATGGCTGCTTCATTCCTTTAATGCATATGTTTGCTACTGGCTTTGCTAAGACCTCAGTCTGTGTCACTTTTTTTAAAAACAAAAGACAGCGATGAGCATTCTGTCTGGTTTTTGGTGGGATAGGAATGGAGCAGCTATGGGATGTCACGTTTACTGTGATGTTGAAAATGCGATTATTTGATTACCTGATTACCTAGAGACTTATCCAAATGTGTACCAGATAGTTGTACACACTTGACAAATGTACACACTTGACAGTTGTTCATGCTGGACAGTTGTACACACTTGACAAATGTACACACTTGACAGTTGTACATGCTGGACAGTTGTACACACTTGACAAATATACACACTTGACAGTTGTTCATGCTGGACAGTTGTACATGCTGGACAATTGTACATGCTGGACAGTTGTACATGCTGGAAAATTGTACATGCTGAACAGTTGTACATGCTGGACAGTTGTACATGCTGGACAGTTGTACATGCTGGACAGTTGTACATGCTGGACAGTTGTACATGCTGGACAGTTGTACATGCTGGACAGTTGTACATGCTGGACAGTTGTACATGCTGGACAGTTGTACATGCTGGACAGTTGTACATGCTGGACAGTTGTACACACTGCACAGGTTCCCACACTGGACAGTCTTAAACCCCTGGGTGCGCACTGCTTTTTCTTCACCTCTCAGATAGATGCACTCTGACTTATCTCAGATAGATGCACTCTGACTTATCTCAGATAGATGCACTCTGACTTATCTCAGATAGATGCACTCTGACTTATCTCAGATAGATGCACTCTGACTTATCTCAGATAGATGCACTCTGACTTATCTCAGATAGATGCACTCTGACTTATCTCAGATAGATGCACTCTGACTTATCTCAGATAGATGCACTCTGACTTATCTCAGATAGATGCACTCTGACTTAAACACCTTTAATTGGTAGTTGGTCACTTTTTACAACATGCATGTTGGAGGGGGGGGGGGTGGTCTACCCCCCCCCCCACGCCTTTTCCACCCCCCCCCCCACCACAACAACAAAAATTGGGGCCCCAGAAGTTACACTGGGAAAACCTTGTAATGTATCTGATTTGAAAACATGGAGATGAAGTGTTTGTTTGTTGATCTCTTTCACTCAGTTATAATATTCTTGTTGTGCTTCGCCTGTTCAAACTTCGACTTTGACGTGTAATACATTTGCTGTTTTCTGTTGTGCGGGTTGAATATTTATGCTACATCTGCCAGAATATTGACACATTTTCTCTGATGGACATTTCCTAGTTTAAGACTCTACAACTGTAGTTCTTTCTCTCTTTCAGACTCTACAACTGTATTTCTTTCTCTCTTTCAGACTCTACAACTGTAGTTCTTTCTCTCTTTCAGACTCTACAACTGTAGTTCTTTCTCTCTTTCAGACTCTACAACTGTAGTTCTTTCTCTCTTTCAGACTCTACAACTGTAGTTCTTTCTCTCTTTCAGACTCTACAACTGTAGTTCTTTCTCTCTTTCAGACTCTACAACTGTAGTTCTTTCTCTCTTTCAGACTCTACAACTGTAGTTCTTTCTCTCTTTCAGACTCTACAACTGTATTTCTCTCTCTCTCTCTCTTTCAGACTCTACCACTTTAGTACTTTCTCTCTTTCAGACTCTACAACTGTAGTTCTTTCTCTCTTTCAGACTCTACCACTGTAGTTATTTCTCTCTTTCAGACTCTTCAACTGTATTTCTTTCTCTCTTTCAGACTCTACAACTGTAGTTCTTTCTCTCTTTCAGACTCTACAACTGTAGTTCTTTCTCTCTTTCAGACTCTACCACTGTAGTTATTTCTCTCTTTCAGACTCTTCAACTGTATTTCTTTCTCTCTTTCAGACTCTACAACTGTAGTTCTTTCTCTCTTTCAGACTCTACAACTGTAGTTCTTTCTCTCTTTCAGACTCTACAACTGTATTTCTTTCTCTCTTTCAGACTCTAGAACTGTAGTTCTTTCTCTCTTTCAGACTCTACAACTGTAGTTCTCTCTCTCTTTCAGACTCTACCACTGTATTTCTTTCTCTCTTTCAGACTCTACAACTGTAGTTCTTTCTCTCTTTCAGACTCTACAACTGTAGTTCTTTCTCTCGTTCAGACTCTACAACTGTAGTTTTTTTCTCTCTTTCAGACTCTACAACTGTAGTTCTTTGTCTCTTTCAGACTCTACAACTGTAGTTCTTTGTCTCTTTCAGACTCTACAACTGTAATTCTTTCTCTCTTTCAGACTCTACCACTGTAGTTCTTTCTCTCTTTCAGACTCTACAACTGTAGTTTTTTCTCTCTTTCAGACTCTACCACTGTAGTTCTTTCTCTCTTTCAGACTCTACAACTGTAGTTCTTTCTCTCTTTCAGACTCTACCACTGTAGTTCTTTCTCTCTGTCAGACTCTACAACTGTAGTTCTTTCTCTCTTTCAGACTCTACCACTGTAGTTCTTTCTCTCTTTCAGACTCTACAACTGTAGTTCTTTCTCTCTTTCAGATTTGTTGTTCCCGTTTTGCTGAATCTTTCCCGTCACTGGCCTAGGGTGGTTTATTGTTTGCCTCAACTCATCATAGTTATTCAGAAACTGTTTACACTGTAGAACCTATGCTGTTGTGTGCATGTCAAACATAGACATTAAACTGGCAAGCTGGAGAATATCTTATAGGAGTAGGAATGTCACACCTTCTTCCTCTCCCCCACACCATAAAGGGAAATGTAACAATTATTTCAGGTGACTGAAATCAGAAAAAGCCAGGTCGTGTGTGTAAGAAAGAGGTAACTGAAAAACTAATTAAATAAATAGGATGGAGACAGTCAGACTTGTTTGGGGAGATTAGGATCCGAACAACAACTCAATAACTTGGAGAAAACCTGCAGACTAGATGGAACAGAAGCAAAGGAATGTCAGTGATAAATATCTGATGACTTGGTCACACGGATGGGATGTGGCCGCCCCAAGGAAATAAATAACTGAAGGAAATTGAAGACTAAAAAACAAACAGAAGATTCTGCTGCCACTAGCTCCACAATTATTGAGGACTTTTCAGGTACAGAAGTTAAACATACAATTCCCGGTGTCAGTTCTGGGAAGGGGAAGGGGGGGGGGGAGGAGTGGGATCCAGTTCGGGGGGGGGAAATAACCCACTCCCCCCTATTCACTGCTCCCCGTTCACTTCCCACCCATCCCCACCCTTCTACTGCTCCCCGCCTGCTCCTCACCAATCCACTGCTCCCCACCAATCCACTGCTCCCCACCAATCCACTGCTCCTCGCCCACTCCCTATCCATCCACTGCTCCACACCTACTCCCCACACATCTACTGCTCCCCACCCATCCACTGCTCCCCGCCCTCTCCCCATCCATCCACTGCTCCCCACCCATCTACTGCTCCCCACCCATCCACTGCTCCCCGCCCACTCCCCATCCATCAACTGCTCCCCGCCCACTCCCCACCCATCCACTGCTCCCTGCCACCCATCCACTGCTCCCCGCTCACTCCCCACCCATCCACTGCTCCCCGCCCACTCCCCGCCCACTCCCCACCCATCCACTGCTCCCCGCCCACTCCCCACCCATCCACTGCTCCCCGCCCACTCCCCACCCATCCACTGCTCCCCACCCAGTCCCACCAATCCCCTTAAAAATCATGCCGTTGGAGGTAACTAGTGGGTGGGTTTTTTTTTGGCGAAGACAGGAGCTCATCTGAGAGCTGAGGAACCAACAGTCTGCATAAAATAATCCAGATCTGTGAAACAGAAATACATAAAGGACTCAAGTTGTGGAGTAAGCCCAAAGTCTAGAAATGGATGAAAGCCAGAACTTGCCTTTGGTGTTACAGCTGGTGGACGCCAAGTAGGGCAACATATCTAATCATGTGTAGTTAGACAAGAAGGGGAACAAATACAATCATGTGTAGTTAGACAAGAAGGGGAACAAATACAATCATGTGTAGTTAGACAAGAAGGGGAACAAATACAATCATGTGTAGTTAGATAAGAAGGGGAACAAATACAATCGTGTGTAGTTAGACAAGAAGGGGAACAAATACAATCATGTGTAGTTAGACAAGAAGGGGAACAAATACAATCGTGTGTAGTTAGATAAGAAGGGGAACAAATACAATCATGTGTAGTTAGATAAGAAGGGGAACAAATACAATCATGTGTAGTTAGATAAGAAGGGGAACAAATACAATCATGTGTAGTTAGACAAGAAGGGGGACAAATACAATCATGTGTAGTTAGACAAGAAGGGGAACAAATACAATCACGTGTAGTTAGACAAGAAGGGGAACAAATACAATCACGTGTGGTTAGATAAGAAGGGGAACAAATACAACCACGTGTGGTTAGACAAGAAGGGGGAGAAATCCAATCATGTGTAGTTAGACAAGAAGGGGAACAAATACAATCACGTGTGGTTAGATAAGAAGGGGAACAAATACAACCACGTGTGGTTAGACAAGAAGGGGGAGAAATCCAATCGTGTGTAGTTAGACAAGAAGGGGAAGAAATCCAATCATGTGTAGTTAGACAAGAAGGAGAAGAAATCCAATCATGTGTAGTTAGACAAGAAGGAATGCAGTGGTAGGAAATAATCCAGAATGTACAGCTGTAAGAGATAACTCAACAAACTGCAGCAAATGAAAAGAACACGAATGCGCTGGGAAAAAACAAACACAATTTATTTCCAAAGCGTAAAGAAATGTGTACCTAAACCATTTTAACATTGTGGCCTCACTCATGTGAAACATTCTGTCATCTATACTTCTTGTCACAGGTTATAATAAATATCATTGACAACAACCAGGACTTGATTGTTGCAGGCACTGAGAAAACCTGTCTCATGTTGTGTTGATTGTGATTTGTGGTGGAAATATCACACAAGAGTGTGTTGGGTTTGATAAACAAGAGGTCATGTCAGTAAGTTTGTTTGTGTGTCACTTCCCCGTGTATCTGTCAGTAATGAGTATGTGTGTGTCACTGGCCCGTGTATCTGCCAGTGATGGTATGTGTGTGTCACTGGCCCGTGTATCTGCCAGTGATGAGTATGTGTGTGTCACTGGCCCGTGTATCTGTCAGTGATGAGTATGTGTGTTACTGGCCCGTGTATCTGCCAGTGATGAGTATGTGTGTGTTACTGGCCCGTGTATCTGCCAGTGATGAGTATGTGTGTGTCACTGGCCTGTGTATCTGTCAGTGATGAGTATGTGTGTGTTACTGGCCTGTGTATCTGCCAGTGATGAGTATGTGTGTGTTACTGGCCCGTGTATCTGCCAGTGATGAGTATGTGTGTGTTACTGGCCTGTGTATCTGCCAGTGATGAGTATGTGTGTGTTACTGGCCTGTGTATCTGCCAGTGATGGTATGTGTGTGTTACTGGCCCGTGTATCTGCCAGTGATGAGTATGTGTGTTTTACTGGCCCGTGTATCTGCCAGTGATGAGTATGTGTGTGTTACTGGCCCGTGTATCTGTCAGTGATGAGTATGTGTGTGTTACTGGCCCGTGTATCTGCCAGTGATGAGTATGTGTGTGTTACTGGCCCGTGTATCTGCCAGTGATGAGTATGTGTGTGTTACTGGCCCGTGTATCTGCCAGTGATGAGTATGTGTGTGTTACTGGCCCGTGTATCTGCCAGTGATGAGTATGTGTGTGTCACTGACCCTTGTATCTGTCAGTGATGAGTATGTGTGCGTCACTTCCCCGTGTATCTGTCAGTGATGAGTATGTGTGCGTCACTTCCCCGTGTATCTGTCAGTGATGAGTATGTGTGTGTCACTGGCCCGTGTATCTGCCAGTGATGAGCAATCGACCTAGATAGTTGTGTCGGATAAAGAAAGAGAACGGGTGGTCAGCAATGAAAGTTTGAGTTGAAGAAAGATTTGAAGTGGTAGACAACTTGAGCGGTGGTGTGCCCATTGACGGTGAGATTCCCTCCTCATTCACTTCGATGGCTGTGGCGTGAATGACTTCCGAGAGGTAAAGCTTGTCTGAGGACACGGCCAGAAATGACGTTAGGTTGTGAATTGCCTGGCCCTTCTAAAGCTATCACATCATATCCACGTCTTACTGCATCGTTTCATACATCACTAACCACTATCGTGGACACAACAAATACACTGCATAAGTTTCTGATCGGATAATAAAGTGTGCAGCTGATAAAAGCGCTGTTCGTACCCGCTCTGTGCTATCAGTGCCAATCATGGACAGTCCCAGAGAAACATGGCATGGCTGAGAGCAGATGTTTCCGGTGGGGAAACTAGAAGAGACAGAGTTCCCAATGAAGAACTGGAAACTGGACACTGGACACACCACCGGTAAACGATTTTAGAACATCTAAGAATGGAATGGTTTGGTCATCTGGTCAGAATATATCAAAATCAACCAGCAGCTGGAGTGTACTCCGTGAGAACAGCAAGCTACAAGTCAAGAGGGAGACCAAGAAAGACATGGATGGGGGAAGTAGAAGAGAGACTACAAAACTGCAAATGACATTCACACAAGCTATTCAACTGGCAGAAGACAGGAAACTACACGCACTAATCCATGCAACTCATTACGGATTGAACAGTTGGATAAAAGAAGAAGAGATTGTGTAATATTTTGTTTGTATCCGTGTGTAATATATTGTTTGTATTCACACTATTGACATTGACATCAGGAACACATTGCTTTGAATTAACAACTGTGGCTTGGGCGGGACAAAAGGGAGCTATAAACAAAGTGGTCACTCCTCTAGCATCTCCCTCCAATCTGCCTCCACCAAGGGCGTGGCTTTTTCCTTCCAGACTCCTCTTCGTTTGAGAGTGTAAGTGTTTCACAGATTCATGGGGGTCTTTGCTGGAGCTGAGTTCCGTGCTTTGTGAGACTGCTTTCTTGAGGAGACGGCGGAGCATGAGGACAAGTACCCGAGCAGTGAAGACTTAACCTGTAGCCATCTAGACGTCTTGATGACTGGGCCCTGGGTTTCTAGACAGACAGAGAGAGAGAGATAGAGAGAGAGAGAGAGAGAGAGAGAGAGAGAGAGAGAGAGAGAGAGAGAGAGAGAGAGAGAGAGAGAGGAGATAGTGGTTGAGAGATAGGGCGCGATATACACAGGAGGAGAGAGAAAGAAATGAAAAAAAAAAATTAGGAACGAGACCAACCACCAACCAAAACACTAACTGACAGACATTCAGTTGACAGTCAGCCAGACAGGCAGACGGACGGACTGGCGGACGCATAAATGGAAGGACGGACAGATGGATGGATGGATAAATTGTGAAAAAGAGACTATGTTTTCACTCAAACAACCAAAGAAACCTACACACAGGTATGTCCAGTTCCTGGCATTGCCACTGAATGCACACACACACACACACACACGCTTGCACACACACATACACACACACGATAAGATATGACCACCACACACTTGCTCAATGAAACCTACCCAAAGAGATGATGCTACTGAAGTCGGCCGTCTCCGCACTGAAGGCCAGGACTATACCCATGTTCTGAAGAATCTTCTTGAGGTAGAGCACTCGGTGTAACCTGAATTTGGGTATCTCCAAGTGCACAGCTGTTGGCACCAGCTCACTGGCCAGGTAGGCAATGGTTCGGCTACTGGCCAATAATTGTTTGTCTGTAGATGAAAGGACAGTTCAAAAGTGTGTCATCTTTTCAAAAGCCTCAGGTGTTTTTCTCTCTCAGACTTGCGTCGTAATGTTAACAATGTTAGAGAAGACAATAAGGTTTGTGAAGTTCAGTTCAAAGAATGTATTTTGTGCATCATAAAATGTTTCTGTTAACTATGTAATAATGCTCCGGAATCAAAACACCGAAACATATGGGGAGATAACCTTGACAATTACTTGTGTCCTCATCATTGTTTGTCATTGATATCAGTTGACATTTGGACAATAGCTGAAGTACACACGGGCGCTCCTAGGCATTATGGGTGATGGGATGTGTGGTTCACAGCTAGGCTGATTGCTAAAGAGGCTATACTGTATATGGGTTATGGGATGTGTGGTTCACAGCCAGGCTGATGGCTGAAGAGGCTATACTGTATATGGGTTATGGGATGTGTGGTTCACAGCCAGGCTGATGGCTGAAGAGGCTATACTGTATATGGGTTATGGGATGTGTGGTTCACAGCTAGGCTGATGACTAAAGAGGCTATACGGTATATGGGTTATGGGATGTGCGCCAAAAATGACCTAAATGCAAAAATTTCACATTTCCTTTTATAAAAGTCACATGCTACAAAAGCAGCCAATGCGTACCGTCAAATGTTCTTCTGTGGGCTATAGAATACCAAACCCTGCTGATATTGACTGACTAGATAACTATAGACTGACCGGTGTGATGCTGACTTCATCACATACCAAACCCTGCTACATGATATTGACTGACTAGATAACTATAGACTGACCGGTGTGATGCTGACCACGTGACTCACCGAGCGCTGATCAGTCTAGCCCTTTATGCCCAATACATCTAAAGGCGTACATCCAGCACCCCTCGTGTCACGTGTGGGAGAACTCACCCACATCCAGCACCCCTTGTGTCTCGTGTGGGAGAACTCACCCACATCCAGCACCCCTCGTGTCACGTGTGGGAGAACTCACCCAAATCCAGTACCCCTCGTGTCACCTGTGGAAGAACTCACCCACATCCAGCACCCCTCGTGTCTCGTGTGGGAGAACTCACCCACATCCAGCACCCCTCGTGTCACGTGTGGGAGAACTCACACACATCCAGCACCCCTCGTGTCTCGTGTGGGAGAACTCACCCACACCCAGCATCCCTCGTGTCACGTGTGGAAGAACTCACACACATCCAGCACCCCTCGTGTCTCGTGTGGGAGAACTCACCCACATCCAGCACCCCTCGTGTCACGTGTGGGAGAACTCACCCACATCCAGCACCCCACGTGTCTCGTGCAGAAGAACTCACCCACATCCAGAACTCCTCTTGTCTCCTGTGGGAAAACTCACCCACATCCAGCACCCCTCGTGTCTCGTGTGGGAGAACTCACATACATCCAGCATCCCTCCTGTCTTGTGTGGGAGAACTCACCCACATCCAGCAACCCTCGTGTCTCGTGTGGGAGAACTCACATACATCCAGCAACTTTCGTGTTTCGTGTGGGAGAACTTACCCACATTCAACATCTCTCGTGTGGGAGAACTCACCCACATCCAGCACCCCTTGTGTCTCGTGTGGGAGAACTATGTAGAATCCTAGCTCAGCCCCTTTAAGTGGAATCTCCACAACATCCACCTTGAGCTCCTCGTCCCTTTTCCATCCAACAGTTAATACACCTGTCATCGCATCTACCTGTGAACGTATCCAACAGTACACCTGTCATCACATCTACCTGTAAACGTATTCAACAGTACACCTGTGATCACATCTACCTGTGAACGTGTCTAACAGTTAGTACACCTGTCATCACATCTACCTGTGAACGTGTCTAACAGTTAGTACACCTGTCATCACATCTACCTGTGAACGTGTCCAACAGTTAGTAAACCTGTCATCACATCTACCTGTGAACTTGTCTAACAGTTAGTACACCTGTCATCACATCTACCTGTGAACTTGTCCAACAGTTAGTACACCTGTCATCAAATCTACCTGTGAACGTGTCTAACAGTTAGTACTCCTGTCATCACATCTACCTGTAAACGTGTCCAACAGTAAGAACATTTGTCATCACATATACCTGTGAACGTGTCCAACAGTTAGTAAACCTGTCATCACATCTACCTGTGAACGTATTCAACAATTAGTACACCTGACATCACATCTACCTGTGAACGTGTCTAACAGTTAGTACACCTGTCATCACATCTACCTGGGAACGTGTCCAACATTTAGTACACCTGTCATCACATCTACCTGTGAACGTGTCTAACAGTTAGTGCACCGGTCATCACATCTACCTGTGAACATATCCAACAATTAGTACACCTGACATCACATCTACATGTAAACGTGTCCAACAGTTAATACACCTGTCATCACATCTACCTGTGAACGTGTCCAACAGTTAGTACAAATGTCATCACATCTACCTGTGAACATATCAAACAGTAATATACCTGCCAACATATCTACATGTCAATCAACACAAACACCAGTCGACATATATATGAGTCAACACATTCACTAGTCAACATATCCATCCGTCAACAAATCCATCGGTCAATATATCCACCAGTTAACATATCCACTAGTCAACATATCCATCCGTCAACGAATCCATCGGTCAAAATATCAACCAGTCAACATATCCACCAGTCAACATATCTACCAGTCAACATGTCCGTGAGTCAGCATATTCAAAAGTCAACGTATCCATAAGTTAACAAATCCACCACTCAACATATCCATTTATCCACACACTAAGCAATCAACGTATACACCAGACAAAGTATTTGCCATTTAACATATCCATAAGTTAGCATATCTGTAAGTTAACATATCCATTAGTTAACATATCCATAAGTTAACATAGCCATGGTTTTACATATCCTTGTGTGAACACATTCAGGAGTTAACATATCTATGAGTTAACATATCTATGAGTTACCATTTCTACCACTTAATATATCCACTAGTTAATATAACCATTAGCTAACATATCCATTAGTTAACATATCCATTCACCAACATATCCATTAGTTAACAAATAATGTGGTAATATATCCACCACTAAACATATCCACCATCAAAATATCCATGAGTTAACAGGCCTATGAGTAAACACACCCACATCTCGAAATATCCACTAGTTAACATATCCAGTATTACCATTCATTAGTAAACATATATATATGAGTCAACATATCAACCACTCAACATATCCACCACCCATCATATCCATTAGTCAACATATCCATTAGCCAACATATCCATTAGCCAACATATCCATTAGTTAACATATCCATGTAGTAATATATCCACCACTAAACATATCCACTAGTCAAAATATCCATGAGGTAACATGCATATGAGTAAACACACCCACATATCAAAATATCCACTAGTTAACATATCCATTAATTACCATTCATTAGTAAACATATCTATGAGTCAACATATCCACCACTGTAATGGGGGATATTTTCGACCCAGTTTAGGGTGGTTGGGGTGAAGGCCCAAAGCTGACCGAAAACACCGAGATAGTCCAGATACTTGGATTAAACGAGAATCTGGAGATAGGTGACTAACCACTAGTTATCACGGGGATCACGGTGATGCGACCCAAGGTCGCCACGGGAAAAGTAAAGGACCACCACGTGTTGTCACGTGAAACTAACCCGTGGTATAAGTCAGACTTGACTCTGGTCAAGTTTAGTTTGTGTCGACCTGTTGGAGCGAGAGGACGAGCGACTGAATGTGCGAATGTCTACGTGAGTGCCTGAGGAGAAAGGAGACCTGCCGACGAAATGTTAAGCTGAGATCGACCATGCCAGCGTGTGAGATGTCCAAACGTCAGTGTTGAATCCATGGGACCCATCGTTGCTTGAATGCCTGCAGAAGACTGTTCGTTAAAAGGCTGCGTGAGTTTGTGTACGAAAAGCGGTTCAATTTAGACATCGACTGGACGATTCTGTTTGTCGTAACTTGTAATACGTCAATAAAGTAATGTCTCGTAAGCTCACATAGGTGTCGGCTTGTGCCAGGTGTGTAACGTGAAGCGTGTGAGAATATCATCCACCACACACGCATGAACACCGCCTAGACAACGAGTAGAAATACAAACCCATTCATTACAACCACCCATCACATTCCTTAGTTAACATATCCACTAGCCAATAATCTACCATTAACATTTCGATTGGTTAACATATCCACCAGTTAACATATCCACCAGTCAACATATCCACCAGTTAAGATATCCACCAGTTAACATATCCACCAGTTAACATATCCACCAGTTAACATATCCACCAGTTAACATATCCACCAGTTAACATATTCACCAGTTAACATATCCACCAGTTAACATATCCACCAGTTAACATATCCATCAGTCAACATATCCACCAGTCAACATATCAATGAGTAAACATATCCATGATTTAACATGTTCATGACTTGGCATATCTATGGGTTAATAAATTTACCAGTCAAAACATCCACCAGTCAACATATCCACCGGTCAAAACTAATACACAGATACACAGACATATAACAGATGCATGTGGTAAAGTCATGTGTTAGCATACGTAACACACATACACATAGAAACACAAAAACATACGAGCACAAAAGGGCAACTCACCATGATACCTGTACTGTTGGGGTCCATGGATGCGAACTGACGTTTGTGTGTCTTGTGTCGGGAAAACTTGTCCTGCCACTCTGCCCTCACGACCATCGTGTCCACTAGAAGTATGTTTCCCGCAGCCAGTAATTCTGGTTTTAGAGAAATCCTTTCATGTTCCATGCAGCCATTGAGAATAGTTTTAGAGAAATCATTTCATGTTCTCGGCGGCGAGTGACTCCAGTATTAGAGAAATCATTTCATGTTCTCGGAGGTCAGTGACCCTACTTTTAGAGAAATAAGGTCTTGAACCCCCCCCCCCCCACCCCCTTTAAAATTCTAATCGTGTTGGGTGTGGCGTATGTTGTCGTTTTTCATTGGCTTTCATTGATCTCACAGATGATGTTTGTGACTATGATCAAACTGTTATCATCGATGTTTAATCTATTTTTTAATCTATCAGCTTAGTTAGTTAGTTATTCGACAGATTATTTTAATCTCACATCGAATCATTCAGTCCATAAGTGTTCAGATCCCCTCTTCAGTATCTCCCTCAGCGTGTAGTGGTTTATAACTCTGCGTTGTTTTACTATTCTTCTTTTTGGCCCCTGTGTAACGCTCTAGTCTGGCTTCACATCTTTTGATCTGGTAATCTGGTAATCTGGTAATCCTAGTTTCAGCTTCATAGCAAAAGGGTCACCCCACATATGCTCCGCTCCTGTGCCAACGAAAAACAAACGCAGCTCACAGTGTCACGCCATACACTCAACTCAGAAGCTGGGCGACGAAACTACATCCTTCCAGTCTACAAATGGAGCAAAAAGACAACGGCCACCGTCTGGCAAAAAAAAAAAAAATATTTGCCCCGGCTTTAAAAAAAAAAAAAAGGTGTCCGTACCTAGCGTCCATTTTGACCGGAAGAATTATATGAGGGTTAATAAACGGTCACCCCAGCAGTACCCTCATTATTAGCTGGGGAAGGGACTTAGGACATTACATCCACCAGCAGGCGTCGCCCCTACAACGACCTGCCTGCCATCGTTAATGACTGTTCACCCAACAGCCATGCAGTTCTTTGGCACGAAGGCGACACCTTGAACTTGGGTTTCGTAGTGCCGACTCCCTACTAAGATGTTATTTTATGTTCTGTTATGACAATTAATGTCACTGCACATTGGGCATACCCATGCGTGCTCAGTTCTCCGAAGCAGCAGCCACTCTAAAGTACTTCTACTAATTGTCCCCATGAGAAGCTGGTTATATTGTCTCCTTTCTCGGCCTCGAAGACGGCAAAGACGTGCATCACCATGCTTAACTCCCATGTCACGCAATCGTGTTAGTGTCAGGGATTCCTCATTCTCCACTAGCCCAGTTCGTACAGCGTTGACTATGTCTGCTCTGTCCATACTTTTTCCCGCAATCATTAGTGCAGTGCTTGCCAGTTGGTCTGCTCGCTCATTTCCCTTCACGCCCGCATGACCCGGTGTGTAGATCCAGGTTACGGAGGTTAAGTGCGATTTCCTAATGCTTTCTATCCATTCAGAGAGCATACTGCCTGTTGCTATCTTCTGAAGCATATTCATTGAGTCTGAGACAATTACTACCTGTGTGGCGCTTTGCTTGGATACCCATGCTAAAGCTCTAGAAGCAGCGGCTATTTCCATTGTCATGCTTGACGTGGTTGTCTGGTAAGCGCCGCTGTCCTCATGTATTGTTTTCCCCTTTCTTTGCGCTGTGTATGCCCATGCTGACCTTGATCCGCGCTTCACGGATCCATCTGTGTAGATGATGGTATCTTCTGGGTCTGAATGCTGATCTATCAGTTCCCTTACTTCTGTGTCTACCGCCGCAGGAATTTGATCCCGGCAGTACCTTCCGAGTGTGATGACAACCTTAGAGATGCCATGCATGTCTACTGGTGTATTCGTCCATTCTTTTCCGTGGCTGATCACTTCTAGGTCACATACCTGCTGGATTAAGTCCTCAGCCTTTGCCATCCAAGAGCGGCCCCTTTTGAGACGCGTTCCTTTTGTGTCGTGAATAGCTTTGTGTAATGGGTGGTTAACATCTGCTGATACCCTCATGTAAGCCTTGACCTGTGCCACTTTGTATCTGCTTGTCATAGTCGGCAGACCCAGGTTTTGTTCGTGTAGTTTGGTCAGTGTTGCAGATTCACAAACATGACTTGTTTCGTTTGATCGAGCCGTCTCTCTGGGGACATTCAGTATATTAGCCCTATCCATTGCTCGTCCGTTTCCCACGTGAGCATCACTTGCAAGTCTGTCAGCTCGTTCATTGCCCTTTACGCCAAAATGAAACCGGAAGAAATAGGAAATTTTGGATAAGGTGTAGAGCTCAAATTAGGATACGCAGTCGTTGTGGGTGACAATGCAGTGTAGGGAAATAATGAATAATATTTCGATAAATAGTTTGATTAATAGAAACATGTTTTTCGAAAGCTATTGCATGTGGAAAACCTTTACTTGAGTGTCGACTTGCCTCATCGATTGTCGGCCATTATGTTACAGTTTGCTACCTCTAACGAATGATGTTACCTTCAGACACACACACTTAGAATGTCCGGATACTGAGTTCAGTGACATTGATGAAATATCAGTGGTATCATTTGTTATGACTAAAGCCATAGAAAATTTGTGATGACCTCTTCTTTTTTAAGTTATAA